TGTTTTTTTATGTGTGTAGTCACAAGCCAATGTGACTTCACATGTCAAGCCAATTCTAAATGCGGAAAAGAAATACTCCATATTGGAACTATTGGCAATGCTTTATGTTGTGTTTGTCTTTTTTCCTCATTTATTTAGAAGTAATTATGAACTATCCTATTTACGGAAGTTCACAATTGTATTGTGTACACATAGTAAGTAACAAATTTCAGGGCTTAAGAGCAGTTCGACTTTGATAAAAGGCATATGAACTGGCCCAGCCTTGGTGCAGTAACATCTGCACACACTGAAGTTTTGAGCAACTACTCACCCATGCTGTAGGAGCCTGCAGGGCTGGCTTCTCAGGTCCAATAACAGAGAGATGGCTTCTGACTGTGCTCTCAATGGTTCTTACTTTGCTCTCTGGCAAGGAGATTATATTACCAAAGGTACTCATAAGAGTGTGTGCATTTACTTTTGGCAAAAGTATGAAGTCCATACTTGCTAAAATTGAATCTTCTAGTCATACATGACTTGAGTTTTGTGTTATCTACTGAAGTGCTCAAATTACAGTTAATATTCCAAAATACTTTTGTTCTTATAAAAATGAATTTACAACAAACTCCAGTTGATTTTTTCTTTTTTAACAATTACTTCTTCAAAATTATACTTCTTCAAATATAACTATCAGGGACCATTGCAAGGACTCCTGCAAACTTTTCAGTAATCTTATAGGGAAGTTCTATTGACATCTGCATTTATAAATGGGGTAACTGGTCCTTAGGTCACATAACTTGTTCAAAGTTCGTTTCAGAAGCCAGGTGTGGTGGCACATGCCTGTACTTCCAGCCCTTGGGAGGCTGAGGCAGAAAGACTGCTGTAAGTTTGAGGCCAGCCTGGGCTACGAAGTGAGTTCAAGGCCAGTCTGAAACCCTGTCTCAAAAAGACAAAAAAAAAAAAATTGCAAAGGGAACTTTTCTGTCTTGATTCAGTGCTTCTTTGACTTCCAGTTGCAAGTGTCAAAAAGGTGATCTTCTACAACAAGCTCACTTTTCTTGAGCAATGTCCAGTAGCCAAGCTGAGTTGGCAAGTGAGTCACACAGTTTACCTTCAACACCAGCTTGAGTGACCTGGCAGAGCTGACCAATTTTTTTCTGGAAGGGAAGTGATGCAGTTTTGTCCAATTCAAAGTCCTCATCTTGACATATTAAACAATTTTTTGGTAGCATGTCCACTTTGTCCTCAGTGATATGCAAATGTTGCAGGTTTTGAAGCAATCCTATTTCTATTGTAATCACTGACATGTTGTAGCTTACATCTAAGCATCTGAGTTTCTGTAAACTAAATACTGCCACTGGTAAGGATTAGAGTTTGTTGTTGGAGAAATAAAGTGGCTCCAAGTTTCTGAAATGGGTAATGGAGGGAGGAACAGCAACAATTTTATTATGCCATAATTTTAAACAAGTCAGTCATTTTAAATGCTGAAAAGTCATGGTCTCCTCAGTGCATGTTATCTGACTTGAAATCCAGTTCTTATAAATTGGAGAGGCTTAAATGGCATGTGGGATTGTGGGGAACCACTCAGATTGCTTCAAAGCTCAGGGTGTCTAAGGACACCTGAGGATATAATCCTGCTTGTCTCACAGCAGGATACAATTATGTAACCATGACCTAACACAGTTAAACATGAATGGGCCAGTTATGGCACTTTACAAGAATGTAAATACAACAACAACCTACATAAGAATCATACAATAAACTAGGCGTGGTGACACACACCTGTAATCTTAGCATTCAGGGGGCTGAGGCAGCAGGATTGCTGCAAATTCAAGGCCAGCCTCGGCTATGAAGTGAGTACAGTGAATTGCAGTGAAACTCTATCTCAAAAAGACAAAAACAAAAAAACAAAAACCCTCTTTTTCTGTTCTTCCATTCCACCATTCGTTTTTTCTTGGGTGGTGCTTAGTATTTCTCTAACTATTCTGCTTACTTCTAGCTTCAGGTCATTAATAACTTCATTCCTGAACTGATCTATGAGGCTCTCTAGATGGCGCTTTATGTCTATTGGTGCGGTGTCCGCTATTACCTGTTTCTCAGGAGTAGGGGCCCGAGGAGCCTTTCTTGTTGCTGCCTCTTTCCATATTCTTTGTTCCTTATATATGCAAGCTTATATAGGAGGCCCAGCTTCCCTCCCTGTCAGCCACAGCCTGATTGAATTGCCCTGGCTAGGTGTTCCTGCCCACCGCAGCACACCAGGAAGTTCCAGACCAGGCAGCCTATGCGGGGCCCACCCCTCCAGGTCACCCTCAGGCTCTGGGATCTGGGTTGGGCTAGCCTACTGGGTCCGCCAGCAGCGTCATGTAGGCTAGGCACTTCTCACCAATTCCGCTTGAGAGGGAAATATGTGGCTGGAGTTGCCACAGCGCCCTGCTCCCACAAGTCTGCCCAGTCCCAGAATGTCCTCCGTTGGAGTCAAACTATGGTAGAGTGATAGTTTCTCTCTCACACCTCACCACAAGTCAGTGCATGGCTTCCGCCCGTCCTGTTTTCGACTTCGTTCACCAATTCCCATTCTCAGAACTTCCGCGCGTCTCTCTCCCTGCCGAGCCAATGTAGACACAGCCACCCCACGGCGGGAAACCCAGGTCGCGGCTTCCAATGGCGCGGGCTCCAGCCTCCACACTGAGGCTTTTCTGTTCGTGTTCTAGCACCAGGACTGCATTCCAAGTTGGTTTCTCTCAGCCCAGTTCGTTCCTGGGTCAGCAGAGCATATCTCCACCGGCTTATGTCTCCTTACTCCGCACCATTCCTGACTTCTGAGCCGAGTCTTTCAGAGCCTCCGTAGCTGCTGTTATCTGTCCACCATGTTCTCCCAGAAGACTCCAGGCAATTCTTTTGGCACAGTCTCCCAAGTACTGTGACTACACCACATCCAGCTACACTGCTCTTTTTTTTATGATCTAATTTTTAAAAAAATATTGCTCTTTTTAAATACTCTGTTAATATTCAGTTAAGTCTAATGTACCTATGGTTAATGTATATGACTCAGTAAAAACATCCTTTATTCAAGAATGTTACCTGAAGTGGACATACACGTATATTGGGCATAGAAGAAAAATGCCATTGGTTTAAAGTAAATTGAGGTAGTTTCACTGCAAATAAATAAATCACCACTGCCTCATTTTTGTTCAAAAACCAAACAAAGCTATAATAACAAAGAAATCACTGGGGTCAGGAATTTAGCTCAGTGGCATAACTGTCAGCCTGGCAGGCACAAGGTCTGGCTGCTGAGAGGTCGTGAGTTTGATCCCTGGTTTTTTAAAAAAAACATCACTGGCAAATCATCACTAACGATTTTTTGTGTGTACCGGGCATTGTACTCAAGACCTTGCGCTTGCCAGACAGGCACATGTGCCACTGAGCTAAATCCCTGGCCCTATCCCTAACAATTTTAAAGTTGATCCACTACCATTAAGTAGGAAAGTTATTATAAAAATATTATATAATTCACTCCTCGAATACATTCCTCTGCTGAGATGTCTAACACATCTTCATCTGTACTCTAGCCTATTTCTGGAAAGTTGCCCCAAACTAGGGAGTTTATACCAGTGGAGTAGTCTGTTAATACTGTTAACTGCCTGGCTGTGAAATACCCAGAAGGGTACATCATTGCAGGAAAGAAGCCAGTAATTGCAGAGAACAATTACTTGATAATCTGAAATGTTTCCACATTTTAAACACACAATGTCCTAAAAAAAAAAAAAAAAAAAAAGTAAAAACCAAAAACCATGCTATGTCTTTCAGTCTATATTTGCAGATTTCAGTGAAACAGCATCTTTCAATGCAGTCCACTGCATGGGAAAGCGAGACATCGGTGGAGAGAAGTCCATGTCAAAGTTAGCCAGCAAGCCGCCTTCATTCTCTTAAAGCTGAGCCTTCGTTTATAAAATTTGCAAAATTTGTAGTCCTTGAAACTACAACTGCTGGTCGTCATAGTGTCCCACGGAGGATGAGGTGTGGCAATTTTGAAGAAGCAAACAAGAATACCCATCCTACTTTGATTCTCCCAGTGAAAGACAAAGACGAAGCCTTTTAGGAAGGAATAGGGTATTTGCTGCTTTGAAGGGTGAAAGTACTGTTTATTAATTGGGAATAGCTGGAAGCAGGCAATCCAGCTTCTTTTTGACTCTTGGGAAGAGGACTGCCGAGGCAGGAGGAGCAGGTGGAGTCGGGGACGCGCCTCCTCCTCTTGGAAGCCGCTCCCTTGCTCCCTTGCGGGGACAGGGATTCCTTTGGATGCTGCATCCCTGCAAGAGTAGTTCAGGAACAGTTCTTTGGGCCCAGTCTCCTATTTTTACCGCCCCTTGACCCTCGGGCCCAGTACGGCGCACGCGGGACACCAGACTGCGCGGCGTCGAGGAACTGGGCAGAGTGCGGCCCGAGCGACCCCAAGGAACCGCGAGAGGCTGCGACCCACGCAATAGACAGGCGTGGGGGTCCCGCCGTCCAAGCCTCGTGGGCACCGAGGACGCCTGCGGAGAACCGACCGCTTGGGAGGGAAGGTACGCTTGCCGCGGAGCCCTCCCTGCCTGTCACTGGGACACTGCCGTGCGAACAGATCGGGTCCCCATGGAATCCGCGAAGGCCTTTCCCACGAGCGGAACGGGCTCCCTGAGCGAGGCCCTCCACACCAACGCCGGGTCGCGCCCGCGGAGTCAGGGAAGCTGTGGTACGGCGCTCCACGTGAGGCCCGGAGGGCTCTGGACACGGTGCCTGCCGTACGTCAAAATATAAAGAAACGGCTCTCGAATTTGGGAGACAAATTTGTTTCAGTCTGTTAAATTTTCTTATTTTTAAACGACGCTCAAAAATAGGAGCTCTACGGCTACTTAGGATAGGACCACTCGCCCGCCTTAAAACAGCGCTACCGTGCTCAGCAGCGCACCCGCCCCTCCCCGCCCTGCCGCGCCAGCACAGCGACTCCTTCCAGCCCTCCTCCGGGCGGCGTTCTTCCGCTCCCTTGCCTCAGGACCCGCCCATCCTCTTCCGGAAGCCCATCCTCTTCTGGAAGGGTTTGTGGCGCGCTGAGTCACCTCCTCCTTAAGTGACTGGTTACTGTGCGTGTCATTCCGAGCTCCGAGTCCCCCATTGGCTGGTTTGCCTCTGAGAGCGTCACGCTGCCAAGGCCCTTTAGAGCCCGACGTCGCGGGAAGAGCTGGGGGGGTGTATGTCGCAGACGGTTGTCGTCTATGGGCTCCCATGATGGCGGCTTCGGAAGGGGCAGTTGTGTCCATAGTGACTGAATCAGATGCCGACAGCAACGCCGAGTTGCGTGAAGTCGGAGGAGTCGGAGCAGTGGGCCAAGAGAAAGACCCGGCCACCAAAACAGCGGAGACCGCGGGGGACAGCGAGGAAGACGGGGAGGACGTATTCGAGGTGGAGCGGATCCTCGACATGAAGACCGAGGCGGTGCGTGGCTGGGACGCGGGAGGTGGAACAGCGGCTCGCGCGAGGCGAGCCCACGAGTTGGCCTCGGGCCTGTGTGCGGACTGCGGCCTGGGGTGGGGCTGCCGGTGGCGGGAGGCGGGCGGGCGCTCCGGGGTGTGGCTTGAAGTGGAGCGTCTGGTGAGGTTTCTCCGGCCACACCTTCCATTGTTTCCCAGAACGGAATCTGTTCCACAATAAAATCTTGGTGGCACAAAAATGCGCTTCATTTTTAATTTTTTTTTTTGTGATAGTGTGTTGTAGTGTATTCCAGGCTGGCTGGGGCTCGCTGTGTAGTTCAGGCTAGCTTCAAACTTGGGGCGATTTTCCTGCCTCGCCTCCTGAGGACTACCGGCGTGCTCTGCCTTGCCCGGCTCGGAGGTGTGCGGTTTAAAGACCTTCCAGACCTACGGAGTGGCATCATTTCTCTACTGTGCACTATAACTGCACAGTAAATACGAATTTTCCGTCGCCTCTCGAATTTGGGAAACAAATTTGTTCCCTGTACCTGGCACTTTTGCTCTAAGGTCCTGGACACTCCTTTCTTCCCTCCCCAGAGAATTCCCACTCTGGCTCGCACAGCATCGGATCAGTCTCTTCGGGAGGGTCTGTGACCGTGATTCCCTGACGATGTCTCATCTGTGTCCTAATTACACTTCCCGTGTGTCCATTGAGGTCAAAGCATTCTCTTTCCTTCTCCGAATGGGCCCCTTAACCTGAGAGACGTGATTTTCACAAATTTTGCCTCACTGGTACTGGTACAGTGATTCGCAGTCTCTAGCATGCAGGCACTCTTCATGTTTATCAGATTATTAATGAGTGAACGAATTGTGGGCTTGGAGAAGGAAAAGCACGGGAAATAAGAATCTAAGCCTGTTGGTAGATAGATGTGAGGTGACCGACCAAAGACCCCACACAGTGATCAGTCCTTGTATTCCTTTGTTGTCTCTTTATTTCTCATTCATCATGTGCCGCCTTTATTTTTTGATCCATTCAGTAAATTTTTCTTAACTACTGTGTACCATTTGTCTTGTTGGGCCCTATAATATAGAGATTAATCAAAGCATTCACAGTTCCTGACGTTGGAAAGTTCTGTCAAGGGGTGTTGAATAATCGAAATCCAACATCATTGTTGTTGTCAATTGCAATACAGTAAAGATAATTTATTTACATATTTATTCATTGGTGCTGAGTACTAGACCTTGCCTCTGTATTTACCAGAGAGCTACACTTCCATCCAAAGTAGACTTTTTTTTTTTTTTTTGTACTGTAGATTGAACTCATGACCTCACACTTGCCAGACAGGCACTTATGCCACTGAGCTAAATCTAAATCCCCTGCCCATTAAGTTGTATCTTTATGAGTATGTGTTTACTATACATAATGATTATATTCATTGTGGAGAGTTGGTCCCTGTACATGACACAACTTCTTTTTTTTACTTCGCCTTCAGACTTATTTTTGGAGACAGGGTCTAGCTATGTAGCCTCTGGCTGACCTTAAGTCATTGTGTAGTATAGGCTGGCTTTACATTTGAGCTCTTCATGCCTCAGCCTCCTAAGTACTAGGATTATGGGTATGGGCCACAACACCGTGCCTTTTTGTTTTACAGGACTGGGGATCAAACTCAGGCTCTCTAATGTGTTAGCAAGTGCTTCATAACTATGTTCCAGGGGCTGGGGATTTAGCTCAGCGGCTTAAGTGCCTGCTTTTTAAGCAGGGGGTCATGAGTTCGATCCCTGGTACCAGAAAAAAAAAAAGGAGCAATTTACCAATTAACTATGCCCCAAATTTTTTTTTGCTTCTGCTCTTCTTCTTTCTTTTGATGGTCTTATCATTTAGTCTAGAATGGCCTGAAGCTCCTCTTGCCTCTGCTTCCTTAGTGTTGGTATTATATGAGCACCACCTGGCTCTGTGGCTGTTATTTTATTTGTCAGTACTATGGATTGAGACTAGGGTTTTCTTACTCAGCTATTTCCCCAACCCTATTTTTAATTTTTATTTTGAGACATGCTCTTGCAAAATCACTGAGTTGTCCAGGCTGGGCTCAAATGAACATGATCTTGCTTTGGCCTTCGGAGTGCTGTGACTACAGGTGTGTACCAACACACCCAGCTGGAAAATTTAATCTTGAGGCTTGATGTTAAGTGCTTTTTGTGTGTGTTAAGAAATATTTTCCTATGCTAAATACTTTCTGGAGGTTTTATTTTGCTTCTCATATTTTATGTTTATACTTGGAATGTCGAGTATTGAGATTACATGCATGCACTACCATGCTAAGTGTGGCAGCATAGGCAGGACCATCTCCTTGAATTCAAGGCCAGCCTGAACTACATAGTGACACTGTGTCTAAAAAGGAAAAAAAATTAGGGGATTTTTGAATTGTGTCTAGAGATCCCCCCACCCCCAAAGCATAGAACTTTTTTGGAGGTGGCTGAATCTAGATTGTGTGACTGGTTTGTAGTATAGTGCTGGGATTAAGGGTGGGTGATTGCTGGATCAGTCTGTTGGTTGAGTTGGCACTTCCCTGATGCAGTAGACAGTACAATATGAGGGACAGAAAAGAGGTTGTCTCTCCCTTGTTGCTTTTGCTGTCTTCTGCCACCATGAACTGTTGTCCCTGTGCCATCTGGCACCCTGCCTTGCCTTCTTTCATTTTGGATGTCAGTATATATATATATATTTTTTTGTCTTTTTCTTTTTTATCGGTACCGGGGATCGAACTCACGACTGACTGCTTGCAAGGCAGGTGCTTATGCCGCTGAGCTAAATCCCCAGCCCCTAGGTGTCAGTATTTTGTCTCACCAGTAAGAAAGGTAACTAAGACACACTTGAATTTGTTGATAAAATTTAAGATCAATTTAATTTTTTTCAGTAGCTTTTTATAGCTTTTTGGGTTGAGATCATCATATTTTGTTAAATTTATTTTTAGGTATTGTGTTTGTTTTTCATCGCTGTTATAAAGTACCTGAGAATAACAATTTAGGGGAGGAAAGGTTTTATTTAGCTTGAAGTTCATAGGTCTCAGTCCATGGTTGACTGGTTACAAAGGGGCAGAAGCATCACAACCGAAGAGTTTGGGCAAACAAGGCTGTTTATTCCTGGGAGCCAGGGAGAGGAAAGAAGAGGCAGGAAATACCATTTATAGGTCAGGACCCATCCTATCTTTCCTACTCTAATAATTCCATCATCTCCTGATACCAAAGAATGGAGTCAAGGACGCATATACGTATACATAAGAGTAGCCAAGGTTTATTGAGAGAAAGCTCCTGAGAGACAAGAGAGATCCCAAAACAGAATGACTGCTGAGGTTCTTTGTCCAAGTATATTTTACACACAAAATCACCACTTGGGTAGCTAGGGGTCAGACTACAACCTATGGGATTGTGAATCTAGTAATTTAACTAAGATTGACCCAGGAGGGATCAAGGCACTTGTAGTAAGGGTCCATGGTGAGCATTGTTAACTTTATAACTTCTGTTATGGAAAGAAGATGTTCCTGGAAGAAAGGCAAGTGTGGCTGCTGGAGTTCTGGTCACTTACCTATGCATCTGATGCCTAGCTGGGCCCACTGGACCAGGTGGTGCTTTACAGTATAATCTCAAGATGCTGTTTATCACTAGGGAGACCTGCAGCCTGGTCATCTTGTCTTTCCTGAGGCCTGGTGCTTCAGATTTGCTTCCAGCCACAGTCTTGATGTCTAACTGCAGCACTGACTCCTGAGGGCCAATCCTGCTCTGCCTCTTAATTTCTGATTTAGCTGTCTGTAAGACTGTTGCCCATCTCCTAGTAGTCCATTTGGCTATGAGCTTGTCAGGTGTTAACCCAGGGATGAGGGTAGGTGCCCTGTGATCCTGGAACCCCCACGTTCTGGTGTGTTGGGATCAAGCTTTCAACTCCAATCCTTTTGGGGACATTTTAGATCCAAATTAGAAAGGATTTATTGGTATTTGCCTGCAGTGGTAAATTGATTTTTTAAAAATTCTTAAGTATTTATTTATTATTTTTTTAAATTTTGTTCTGCATCTGTTTGTTTTTTGAGACAGAATTTCCCTATGACGTTCATGCAGGCCTAGAACTCACTTTGTAGCCCAAGCTGGCCACAAACTTACAGAGATCTCCTTCCTTAGCCTGTAAGTGCTAGGATTATAGGCATGCACCACCACACCCAGTTAACATCTTTTGATGAACAAATAAAGTTTCTTTTTTTCTTTCTTTGCAGTCCTGGGGACTGAACTCAGAGCATTCTCACTTGAGCTACCTTTCAAGCCTCCTTCTCTCTCTCTCTCTCTTTTTTTTTTCCCCCCCGTACTGGGTTGAATTTTTTTTTTTTTTAATCAGTACCGGGGATAACCCACGACTGCCTGCTTGCAAGGCAGGCACTTATGCCGCTGAGCTAAATCACCAGCCCTAGTACTGGGGATCAAACTCCCAACTGCACACTTGCAAGGCAGGCGCTTATGCTGCTGAGCTAAGTCCCCAACCCTCCTTCTCTTTTTTTGTTAAGGTGGTTTTTGTTTTTTGTTTTGATTTTTTTGAGGCATAGTCTTACTGTGTGGTTCAGGCTGTCCTTAAACTCAAGGCTATCCTCCTGCTTCAGTGGAATCTCAGCACTGGGAGTATAGATGTCCACCACCACACTTGGCCTTTTTAAAAAATTTTGTGAGAGGGGGTCTTATTAAGTTTCCTAGTCTGTTTTCATACTTGCAAACTTCTTACCGTAGCCTCCAAAGAGCTGGGATCATAGGTTTGTGCCTTTACACCCATTTGATCCTTTTTCGTTGTTGGATTATATTTGGATTTGTTTGTGTTTCTAATTTGGATTAGAAATTAGTTTCTAGGGCTTCTTCCCTAATTAAAGTCTTTTGGGGGAATATACCAAACCTTACTTTCTATGAGAAGAATTTTGTAAAAGTAGCTTTGTATCTGTATGACGAAGACATGACATTTATATGTTATTTTTTTGTTGTATATTTGCTTCATTGGTATTTAAAACCTGTATACAGCTGCTTGCAAACAAGTCAGCCATTCCTTAGAACTTGAAACTGTTGGCATACCGGGGATGTGATTTGATAAATCTTCCAGCGTGTGGCTGTTCCTTAATTGTAGTATCATTGAGTATTCTTTTTCAAAATGTTTTTTTTTGGTGAGGTAGAGTCTCACTTGTATTGCCTAGGTGGGCCTCAAAATTGTGGTCTTCTGCTTTAGCTTCCTAAGTAGCTGGATTACAAGGGTATTTTATTCTTACTCATCTTAAGTAGTAGTGACACATGAGCTTTTTAAACTTGTATTAGTAACATATGTCCTGAAAGAAGAATAATCTATAGCTTTTGAGAACAGTGGGTTGGGGCTTGAGCCACTGTCTGATTAAGTAGGCTTTAGGGAAAACACCAGGCTGCTGTGGAAATCTGTATGCAGTGCTTAATTAGGGTTGCATTTGTTTTCCAAAGGTGTATGTCCATACTATAGTTTTCTTGGATCTACTTGAGGTTTTGTAAGCAACACTGAAGGTCATGATTTAGTATATTTGATCTGATTTAGTATATTTGTTCTCTGCCTTTTTAATTTGACTCACCAATTAAGTGAAAGGAAAATTTTGGGTGCAAAGGAAATGAAACTGTTCCTGGAATCTCTTTTTTTAAATTTCTTTTTGGTACCAGGGATTGAATTCACAACCTCTCGCTTGCCAGGCAGGTGCTTATGCTGCTGAGCTAAATCCCTGGCCCTTGTTCCTGCAATCTTGAAGGAAGCCCCAGGAATATCATGAAACTTCTTAAAAGATGACAAACTTCATGTGGTTACATTTTTAAAAATCTCATTCTTGTTGGAGAGTTTATTTTTAAGATACACAAAGATATTATACATTTATTTATAAAAACAAAAAATTGAAACAACCCTGGTATGGTAGTATATGCCTGTGATCCTAGCACCTTGGCATATACCTTAATGTGAAGATTCCAGATTCAATCCCCAGAATTGTTTTTAAAAAAGCTTTGATAAACAAAAGGAGAGCTTTTGTTTTTATATGAGACTTTTTCGAAATCAGGACCTTGTGTTGCGAGGCAGGCACTTACGCCACTGAGCTAAATCCCCAGCCCAAGTTTTTGTTTTTATATGATAAAATAATGTTCAGTCACTTAAAAGTCATGTCTTTGAAAAATACTGAAAAGAGCTTGATATGAGGGTACAAGATTAAAAATTATAGCATTCCTAATAGGTTAAAACCCATTAAATATGTATTAATAAATGCAGTAGGTAAAGGAAATAGATCAAATTATCTTTGGGTGACTTTTATGATGTTAGTTTTCATTGCTCAGTCTTCTGTTTATGAAAAATGCCACAGTGGGGCTGTTTTTTCCTTAAGCTACTTGCCTCAGGAGATGATGTACTTACTTTATAGTTTACTAATGTCCTTTAGAAGTTGTCAAGTTCTTTCTGCGGGAGACAACTCTAGTGACTCCTCTTGAATGTAAAACAATTACTGTACCTCTGATTATCTGGAGACTTATTTTGTTATATTGATATGTAGAGGGATGGCTGTGGTATTTCCTTCTCTCCAATTGGCTCTAAGAATTGCAAATCAGGCTAGCTGAGGTGCTGGTATGTAATCTCTAAAACCAACAGACAGTCCTGTCTCCTCACATTGTGTTCTCCGTGGAAAGAATATGAGCAAGCACAGCAGGATGTTAGAGCTAATAGTTCCAAAAATGTCAACTGAGTAGGAGTCTCAAAATAAAAAGAGGCTATGATTTCACAGGACACAAGAGTTTACGTATCAAAAACCGAAGCGACAGCCTCCCAAAACAATTCAGTTGCTACCTTAATTAGATATATAAACTGATCCTTCTACATATCTTTATCTCTACAATTTACAGAGATGCCTTTCTTTTTTTAATTTTAAAGGGGGTAAAATTAAACACAACAAAACAGAACAAAATAGGACATAAGAAAACAATGTAAGAGATACAAATTTCAAAGCTAGATGACCTGAGATCTTTACTGTCTACGTATTGTCTCTTGTTTTCTTCCAAATAGTTGTTCATGTCTTTGCATACAGAAAATTCATACAAAACAACATAGTATAAAACTGGTCCGAACACAATGAGGAAGGCGTTTTAGGTCTTCAGAACCAGATAATAGGGAAGTCACTAATGGCTGTTGTAGTCTCCAGTTCTCCTCAAAATAGCTGTCCACACCTTCATGTATACTGAAGCTCAATAAAACAAAACAGGCGGGGGAGGGGAGGTAGGAGGGGTTGCTTGGTTTCCCGGTGCTCCAGGTCCCAGCATGGCATGGGTCCCAGTAAACGCCAGAGCCTCCTGTAGCCTTGCTACACCCAGAGACTCCCATCCTGGGCCTGCCACAGCCTGCCAGGCTCACAGCCACTCACGGGGGGGGGGGTTGCTTCAAGCAATTTCTTTCTAATGAATTGACCATTTCACTGCCCAAGTTCTGAAATGGCCAACAGACCATAGAAAGACATCTCTTTAGGCTCCTGCTTGAAACCAACAATGTCAGGAAGCTACCAGTCTTGATTCAGGGCCACTAGATGTCTTTCTCCCACATGGCTAGCCAGCTCAAGTTACATAATTCCTGCCATCCTCACTGTCACTCATCCCTCAGTTGCCCCCCTTCTTCACAAGATAATAAATTCTGGGAGAGGCCTAGGATCAAGACCTTTGTCCACACATGCTCATGGGGATTGGATTTAGGACCCCTTGGCTGCCCTTAACTGGGAATATATCTTGGTGTCTGTATTCTCACTGTGGGTTGCATTGGTGGGTGGTAGATTGGAATTGCTGGGATTCCAATAACATCTCAGTGGGATTACAAATACAACCTTTTAAATTGTGAGAAAAACTAAAAAGAGAATTACAATATTTAGATGACTACATAGTGTTTGGGATTATAATACTTTCATGTGATCTCAACAGTTGTATATTTTAGGAAATTTAATCAGTGAGTATGATATGAGTTTAGGAAATTTAATCAGTGAGTTTTAATATGTTGTCTCTGGCTGTTTTTACTCATTACCACAGGGTAGAATCCTATATAAAGTTCGATGGAAAGGGTATACATCAGATGATGACACCTGGGAGCCTGAGATTCATCTGGAGGACTGTAAAGAAGTTCTTCTTGAATTTAGGAAGAAAGTTGCAGAAAACAAAGCTAAAGCAGCCAAGAAGGATATTCAGGTATCGTGTTCCTTGTATGTTTTTTCTGGCTTTACATACCTAAGTTTATCTTTTCTGATATAAACAATGTGTAGTAAACAGTTACAGATACTGGTATTCATTCATTAGTGTAAATTTCATGTAGTTAATTTATTCTCATAGACCATTGTCAGGGATTTTTGAACTCTTTCTGTACTCAACCTATAATTGTAGATGAGAAGCAAGTACAGCTTAGATGTTGTGTTAATCAACTAATACTATAATGAAATCCCTGCAGTAATTAACTTATGAACATACTTATTTTGCACTACAGCTCTGTAAGTTCCAGTCCAAAGTTGAGCAGACCCACTGCTCTAGGCCTCTGAGGGGCTATGATGGTGCTGCTGGGAAGTGTGGGGCATATCAGGTTTCACATCCTCTTGATCCAGGAAGCAGAGAGGAAGCAACAGGGCTCCATCCCCTTTGGGTTCACATGCCCCACCACACACCCTAAGGGCCTCCACCACTGAGTCCCAGCTCATAAAGATCTACCACCCCAGTAGTGGCGCTTTGGGGACCAAGCCTTTATTTAACACATGAGACTGTGGGGAGCATTCAAGACCCAAATGGAAGACATGGATATTAGTTATTATTTTATTTTATTTTATTTTATTTTATTTTATTTTTTTTTTGTCTTTTTTCATTTTTATCGGTACCGGGGATCGAACTCACGACCGCCTGCTTGCAAGGCAGGTGCTTATGCCACTGAGCTAAACCTCCAGCCCCTATTATTTTCTTTTAAGAGTAAGGTAGGGCTGGAAATGTAGCTCACTAGTAGAATGCTTGCCTGGCATGGTCAGGGCCTATGTTTTATCCCAGCATTGTAAAACTGGAAATAAAAATTTTAAAAAATCCTGATTTCACTTGTTCATCCATGAGATGAACAGCCTATTTTTGTGTACTTGAATATTGTCTCGGGTTTTTTTTTTTTTTTTTTTTTTTTTTGAGACATGGTCTTACTATGGAGTTTAGGCTGGCTTCAAACTCACAGTGATCCTCCTGCCTCAGCCTCCTGAGTACGAGGATTACAAGTGTGTGCCACCATGCCCAGAATATTGCCTCAATTTATTTTTTTCTGCTCTTCACAGTGTTACTATTATAGCTATAACACATCCATTTATTTGCTTGCTTGCTTATTTATTTATTTATTTATTTGTACTGCAGATCAAACTGAAGACCTCACACTTGCCAAGCTGGTGTTTGTGCCACTGAGCTAAATCCCTAGCCCAACCCATCCATTTGTAGTTCATCTGTCTTTGATTTTTTTTTTTTTTTTTTAAGACATGATCTTGCTGTGCGGCCTAGGCTGGTCCCTCTTGCCTCACGCAATTTCACGCAATCCATCCCTATCTGTGTTCTTTATCTATTCATTTAACTTTTTGTTCTATTTAAATTAAAAACAAATGATTAGGGTGAGTAGGGGGAGCAGCATGGGGATCACACCCAGAGCCTCATGTATGTTAGGCAAACCTTTACTACTAAGCAAGTATCCCCAGCTGTGTAGATCACTGTTTTGTTTGTAGGCTTTTTTTGTGATACCTGGGATTGAACCCAGGGTGTTCATACTGAAGTATGATCCCAGTCCTTTTTATTTTTTGAGATAGAGTCTTGCAAAGTTGCCCAGGATAGGCTCAAACTTGAGTTTCTTCTCCCTCAGCCTCCCAGAGTGCTGGAATTCCAGGCTTGCATCATAACATCAGCTTCGCTTAGATCACTTTTTAAAGCAACAGATTTTTAGCTGGGCATAGTGGCATACACCTGTAGTTCCAGTAGTCTGGGAGACTGAAGAAGGATGACAATTTTGAGCCCAGCCTGGGCAGGTTAGGATGTTAGCAAGACCCCGTCTAAAAAAATAAAAAGGGTTGGGGAAGTAGCTTAGTGTCACAGTGTTCCTGGGTTCATCATCAAAAAAAACAAGAAAACCACAAAACTAACCTATTGCAGAATGCTTCTAGGGTAATTGTTCATGTCCAGTTTTCTATGTACTCTTCAGTTTTTATCTTACTGCTTTATAGTAGCTCTTGATGTAGATAAGAATGAAAAAATAAACTCACCTAAGTTAAACTGCTCTTAGCAGCTCAGAAGAAAGTTGGAATGTGGGCTGCAGTGAGTTATATAAAACTAATGTATAAATTTGGTTCAGGGATTTGTACATTGTTTTACCCTTCATTCACAAATTCTGTGAATTATTGCATTACTTTAATTATGAATCTTTGTCTTGTTTTGTTTTGTTGAGAGAAGATCTTACTATGTAGCCCAGGCTGGCCTTGAACTCATGGTGATCCTCTTGCCTTAGCCTTCCGAGTGCTGAGATCACAATTGTGCAACACTATGCCTATCCTTGATTATGAATCTTATGAGAATTTCCCCATTTACCTTTTCAGAATTTCATATGTACTTCATTTACAAATTGAACAAGTATGCTTACATTTTGTACATTAGTTTAATATATCACATTAGGATTTTTATCTCTATTCTTGAATTTAGAACTATCGTGATGATTTTTCTGGATTCAAGAAACTGATTCTTGCTTATAATTTAAGGGCTGAACATCATTGGATAACCTTTTTCCCTTCAACTTGAGTTTGACTCACTTACGGGGCAAGAGGAAGGCTGTGTTACTACACAGGTAGTCTTCATGCCAGACACTGGGTCAGTATTTTATATGGATTAAGATGGGAAGCCTAGGCTTAGGTGAATTGAGTAACCAGCCCACTGTTAACGAGCCAGACATCTGTGTTCTTAACTATTCTGCTAGCTCACCTCTTAGTTTGGGTTATAGCTTGAAATCCAGTCAGCAGATTGGAATTGCTGGTTTTTAAAATGTATTAACTGGGCATGGTAGAGCACACCTGTATCTCCCGTACTCAGGAAGCTGAGGCAGGAGGATTGCCACCAATTTGTGGCTAGCCTGAACTACATAAAGAGTAGTCCAGCCTGAAATACATAGTGAGACCCTGTCTCCAAAAAGAGAAAAGAAAAAAAAGAAAAAATGTTTATTAATGGTGGCAGGGCAGGACCCTAGTTTGGGTTTTGAGTTGTCAAGGAAAATGTTCAATACTTTTACCACTTTTTTTTTCTTTTACCATTTTGTAAAGGTAACTCTTTAAAAAATAAATTCAGGTTAAAACCTTTAATTCTCCCAATTCTTCTGTTTTAGGTGTAATTCACGTTCCTAGAATACTTACTCTCACTTTTCCATTTCTTTCCATAAAAACATTCTTATGAACCTGTTTTATTAAATGATTGGTTCACATTACTCTGAAGATTTGTAGCCTTTTTTGAGAGGTCTTGCTGTGTTAGTCCAGGCTGACGTTGAATGCATAGTGTAGCCAGATAGCCTCCAAGTCCGCAGAGAGCCTCCTTCCTCAGGTGCCTGTGTGCTGGGATTCCAGGCATGAATCAGCCGGCCAGGCTCCTTGTTTTCATCTTTTACTGTGGTTTTTTTTTTTTTTTTTTTTAATTAATTTTTTTTTACTGTGTTTTTGAAAGATTCAAAAGCACAGCCTTACTTTTTGAGGTTTCTGTTTTCTACCTCCCCCATCTTCTCTTGTGTTCCTGTCTTCCCCTTCTGCTTTGTTTGGAATGTAATTGTAGTAGCAGTTTCTCCTCACCGGGGCTTTGCAGTGTAAGTCCTGGGAAGATCTTACTGTCTTCCTCTTGGTGCTAAGGATGGAACCAACAGCCCCTCACATTTGAAGCAAGTGCGCTACCCCACCACTTAATTTTGTAACAGATACTGTCTCTGGACATTTTTGTTGTTGTTCCCCTAGTTCTGTGGTGGTGGACCCGTGGCACATGTGCCACAGCAGGATGCTTATCATCAAAAGCTCTGAAAGATTTGCCGTCACTGCCTTAGTTGCTCTTCTTTTTATACAATGATTCGTGGGGTTGAACCAAGTAAGCCAGCGCACCCACACTGGGAACTGAACCCAAAGCCTTCATACAGAGCTACGTCTTCAGTGCCATTTTAGTTTTTGAGACAGGATTTTGCTAAGTTGCCCAAACTAGGCTCAGACTTGCCATTCTCTTCTTGCCTTAGCTTTCCGCAGTGCTGGATTTTAGATATGTGTCACCAAGCCCTGCTGGTGGCATCTACTTTATAGGTACCACAGAGAAAATACTGTTTTTTTTTTTTTTTTGTTTTGTTTTTTTTTTTCTTCTTTCTACCCTTAAGTTATTTAAGGTAAGACAATTTTGGGAAATAGAAGTTGAAAATACTTGACACCCTGTTTTTACATTTATACAAATACCTCATTCTTAATGGTTTTTATATATTTTAAAATAGAGGGAAAAATGTATGAGTCACTAAGTTGTCCAACTTGAGCCCAAATTTTGATTTTCCTGCCTTAGTTCCCCAGGGTAAGGCTGTTACTAATGTGTACTGCCATACCTGGTTGCAAGATACATTTTTAAAGAAAATATTTAAGATTATATGATAATATCACTTGAGGAAATAAGATTTGTGTACAGTTTGTTCTATATGCAGTGTAATAGCAAGTTCATTCAGGTACGTTCTAGAGTTTTAAAGCTTAAGAAACCAGCCAGGTGTAGTAGGTCCTGCCTGTAATTGCAGCCCATGGGGGCGGGGGCGCTGAAGCAGGATGGTCATAGGCGTGAGCACAGCTTGGGAAATTTAGTGACTTAGTTGTGAGACTCTGTCGCAAAACCTTGAAAAGGACTGGGGAATTAGTACAGTGCAAATGCCCTGTGCTCAGTCCACAAAAGTGGCTAGGGCAGATCTTTGGATTGGTAACTGTGTTTTTGGCCACTGTATAAAAATTATGTTCTTGCTATTTTGGGGAATTTTGAGGTTCCATTCATTTGCAGCCCATTGTGTGTGAAGTTAGGGTTAGGGTTAGGTTAGTTTTTCTGCACTCTGAGACTTCCAGGACTCTCTATATGTGTTGCTGTTTTTCTCCTTTTTTAAATTGATGCTTATCATCAGCTGAGACCTGTATCTGCAAACAGTGATCTAAGAGTAAACAATTTCAATTTTGGTAATTTTTTTTTTCTTTTTTCTTTTTATTGGTACTGGGGATTGAACTCATGACCGCCTGCTTGCAAGGCAGGTGCTTATGCCGCTGAGCTAAATCCCCAGCCCAGTTTTGGTAATTTTAAGAAATTATATCAGCCGGGCATGGTGGTTCACACCTGTAATTCCAGTACTCGGGAGGCTGAGGTGGGAGGATCATTGCATGTTCAAGATCAGTCTGAGCTACAAAGTGAGCTCAAGGCCAGACTGAACTGCATAGCAAGACCCCGTCTCAAAAAAGACAACAACAACAAAAAAATTGTATCTGCCTTAAATATATTCTAACAGATTTCATTTTTGCTCCTTTTCAAAATATAAAATTATGTTAATGAGGATTTTACTCTTCATTGTGTTTTATAGAAACTGTCTTTAAATAATGACATATTTGAGGCAGACTCTGATAGTGATCAGCGAAGTGAGACAAAAGAAGATATTTCCCCAAGGAAGAAAAAGAAAAAAATGAGGCAAAAAGAAGAAAAAAGCCCCGACGATCTAAAAAAAAGAAAAGGAAAAACCGGGAAACTAAAAGATAAGTCCAAATCAGAACTGGACAGCTCTTCTGAAAGTTTGGTTTGTGATTTAAGGACAAAGAAAAGAATTTTAGAAGCCAAAGGAGAAACAAAGGATGCCAAAAAGCCCAAAAAGGATGAAGTAAAAGAAACTAAGGAATTAAAGAAAGTTAAAAAGGCTGAAATAAGAGATTTAAAGACTAAAATAAGAGAAGATCCCAAAGAAAACAGAAAAACTAGAAAAGAGAAATATGCTGAATCTCAGCTGGAGTTTGATTCAAGTGTACTTAATGATTTTCCTCTTCAGGAAGATGACAGTGAAGACTTTTATTCGGACAGCAGGGAAGAAAAACAAAAAATTAACAGCCCAGAAGATAAAATAGTTGAAGATGCAGTGCAAGAGAAGCTTTTTGACAAACAGCTAGATGCCCCTGGAAGTGCTGACGAGGATGCTGATGGCAAGACCAAGAGGAGGAAAAAGAAACTAAGGAGGAATGAAGAGCCAAAGGAGGGTACCAGGCCGGAAAACAGTGCCTTTTCAGAGAAGAAAACTCTACCTAAAAAGCAGAGGAATCAAGACAGAAGCAGGACCAACACAGAGCTAGATAAACTGCTACCACTGGCATCTGTTCAAGCACAGAGGAGTCCCAGGGCAGCAGGGGAAGAACAAGGCTTGTGGGCAGCAGATTCCGCTGAGGAGGTAAGGGGCTCGGGAAGCCTGGGGGAGTGCAGGCCACCCCTTCCAGACTAGCACTGGATCCAGTGGTTGGGAAGTGTCCAGTGGCGGTCCGTGGCGCCACTGCCTGGCTGCTGTGAGCACTGACGAGCTTCCCACCTTGGTGCCTCCAACTTCTCTGCCTTGTTTTCCTTTAGACAAACCATGACTAGGGAATCAAGGGCTAATTTAATGACACGCCAGAAATGTTTTTAGAGATACTGAGATGATAGTGCAGCATTGGATACAAAATCTTACAGCCTCGTCAGCTTGTGTCATCTTTTCAGATCCGACTCGACATTTCCTCCATTGTCTTTTTTTTTTTTTTTTTTTTAAACAAGGTCTTACTGCAATTCAGGCTGGTCTTGAACTTGCAATGATACTTCTGACTCAGCCTCCCAAGTGCTGGGATTATAGGCATGCACCACCACACCCAGCTAAAATAATTAGGAAAAAGATTAGGGGGAAGAAAAAAATTAGGGAAAATGATTTTAGAATTTTGTTTTATGTGAAATCTTGTTTTTGTAGTACTAGGAATTGAACCAAGGGCCTTGACACTAAGATACATCCCCAGTCCTTTTTACTTTTTTTTTTAAACAGGGTTTTGCTAAATGACTGTTAGTACTTAAACTTGCAGTTCTTCTGCAAACCCCCAAGAGTGTTATTAAAATTGTGCATCAAAGTGCCCAGCTATAAATTTATTTTTACTGAAATTCTCAAGTCATTGGAGAAACTTGTTTTAACTTTTTTCAATATGTATATTTTAATGCAAAGTGAATCAACAGTAATACATAATTTATATGTAATACAGTAGTAACTCATAAATTCTTCATATAGACACTCACCAAAATGGTCATCTGGAAAACTCATTTTTTATAACAAAGTACAGAAGGCTTTGTCCGTGACACTGAGAACTAGAGAGAAAGGCTTTTGCAAACCGGAATGGACATTATAGTCATCAAAAATTTCCCAGTCCTTACTGTCATTGACACAATACAGTTGCTACTTGATAAGGGCAGTGTAGCTTAGAAATAGAAGCAAAGAAAAAAAGCCTCAAAAAATTCTTAAAACAAATACTGTTTTGGTTTTTCTAAATATGTGCAGGCTGGGATCAAATTTGCAATCCTCCTTTTGCAGCCTTCCACAGTGGTGGTGGAGTGTTGTGTTTTCAATTTGATACTGTGTAGGTTACAGTCAAAGGCTAATCTTCACTGAGAAAGTAATGGAAAAGAGAGAGACTGATCACACAGAGAGACATGGATGAGACCAATCTGTACTTTTCAGTTTTCTTTTCTTTTCTTTTTTTGGTGCCGGGAATTGAACTCACGAACTTGAGCTTGCCAAACAGGCACTTATGCCACTGAGCTAAGTCCCCAGCCACTTTTCAGCTTTCAGATGCACAGCGTCAGCTCTTAAAACGTTTGTTTGTTTATTTATTTATTTATTTATTTATTGTACTAGAAATTAAACTCAGGACCTCACATTTGCCAGGCAGATACTGTGCTGCTGAGCTACATCTCTGGCTCTTTATTTATTCTTGATTAGGGTCTTACATTTTTATTTTTAGGATAAAGAACCAAAAAAAAATGAACCTAAAGAAAAATTTCAGAAAAGATGTGATTCGGAAAAGGAAGAAAAAGGCCGGAAAGACCCAAAAGGATTAAAGAGTAAGTGTAACTACTAACATTTTATAATTTTTATTGTTATCTTTTTAAACAAAGAATTGAACTCACTGTGAAGGTAATCTTCCCAAGCTGGCATGTCACAGAATTGGAACATTTCACTGTGGAATTTAGAGCCTTCTACTTTCCTTTAACCAGTCACCTAGTATACAGTTTAAGTATCACTTACCCAAAATTGGTAGGATCAAAAGAATTTCAGATTTCGCATTTTTTTCTGATTTTAGGAGATGTGTACTATAAATACTTGGGGATAGCACCACATGGCAAACTAGGATGGGCTGACATCTTGCTACTAGGGACTGACAGCTAAAAAATAACAGTCTTGTATGAATAGATATATTGAAGATGATTTTACACAGTAGTTTTAGTTTACCTGAGGTGGTTGCTGTGAAACAGGGTCTTGCCATGTAGCTCAGGCAGGCCTCAAACTCATGGCCATTCTCTCCAGTCAGCCTCCCAAGAGCTGGAATTAGAGGCATGTCTAGTTACTTTATCTGTGTTTTGACTGACCTGTTAAATGAAGTTCATAGGTAGAATTTTCTACTTGGTTTTTTTTGAGGGGGTGTCTTTTATTTTGCAGACAAGATCTTACTAAGCAATTTAGGCTGGCCTTGAGTTCACTTTGTAGCCCAGGCTGGTCTTGAACTTGTCAGCCTCCCAAGTGCTGGGATTATAGGCATGCACCACCATACCTGGCTAGAATTTTCCACTTCTATAACGTCATTGCTCAGAAAGTTTCAGATTCTAGGTCTTTAGTTAGGGATGGTTAGTCCAAATAACAATTATTTATATATGTAAAATGTTTATGTACTGTGTGTATATTTTGTATATTGTTTTTTACATTGTTCTTTTCAATATGATATAACATGACAAATACAGAGAATTACAGAGATAAGAGTTAAACTATGGCAGGAAAGTAAAGGTTTCTCTTATGGATGCTCAGTAAAATAGGCTTTTGTTTAAAATACTAATTACATTTAAGTCTGTCATTTGTCTAAAAATTGATCCAGAATTCTTGAAAGGTGAGGCAGGAAAATCACAAATTCAAGCCCAACCTGAAAAAATTAGTGACCCATCAAGACCATGTCTCAAAATGAAAAACAGGAAGCCCTGGGATGCACCTCAGAGGGAAGGAACTGGGTTCCCCATTACCATAAAGATATATCAAATACATATTTTGTGTTACTTCACAATATGTGAAAATTGAGAATCTCTTAACATATGTTACTCCTGTCACCAAGTGGCTATTTAAGAAAAGCCACCATTGCAAGCTGGCCATGGTGGCACATGCCTGTAATCCCAGCACTCAGGAGCCTGAGGCAAGAAGATCATTGCAAGTTTGAGACCAGCCTGGGCTACAAAGTGAGCCCAAGGCCATTCTGAACTACATAGTGAGACCCTGTCTCAAAAAAACCCCCAAAACAAAAACAAAACAAAAAATACCATTACAGTGTTTTAGCCCTGAAAGATAAGTATTTTATTATATGTTAAAAGAATTTGGAATGTGTATTCTCTTGAAAGTAGTGATTCTAAGAGGTGGACTATTTTCTCAAAAGCTGTGTGTAACAAATAATTAAAAGAGAATTTATGTTTTATATACATATCTGTCTATCATATATATTACTGTGTTTGTGTGTTTGAGGTTATTTTACCCAGTTGCTGAGGATCAGGTCCAGGCTTTCTGTGCTGAGCATGGGCTCTACCACTGAGCTTTACCTCCAGCCTGTTTTCAGCCTTGTATGTCAATTTCGGGTACATTTCTGCTGTGGACCTGCAACCTTAAATGGAACTGTTATCTGTCCCGTTTATAATTATAGTCACTAGGAGTCTCATTTTCAGTTTTCCTACTAATCAAACCTTGAGTTTATAAGAGAGTCCTTTGTAATTGTCAGTATTTTGCCAGTTCTCTTCCCAGTTTATTGTGTGTCTGTGTGCGCACTGCTGGAGATTGAACCCAAGACGTTAACACATGGTAGAAAACATATGCAGTACCACTGAGTTGTACTCTGTGAGTGTTTCTTCTCAGTTTTCTCTTTTAGTTCAAAGCTAGTGCCAGGCTGGGTGTGATGGCCCACACTTAATCCCAGCACTCGGGAGGCTGACACAGGAGACTCATTGCACATTAGAGGCCAGCCTGGGTTACATAGTTCAAGACCATCCTGAACTACATAGTGAAGCTGTGTTTCAACCCCCCCCAACAAACAAACAAACAAACAAAACAAAACAAAAGAAAACAAAAAAGCACTAGTGGCAGTAAGTACTGACACCAGACTGCCGACAGTCTTCTTGTACCTGGCTAGTGCCCCCATTCACCACCGGAAACCATTTCTGTAAAAGCTCCATGTTGCCATAGTAAACAGGCTAAAATTTGGTGGTGTAGCAAGAATCATTCTGAGGCTCCTCATGTTGAACAGTGCTGCTAACAGCTATTGAATAGTTCAAAAGACATGATGACAGCCATTCTCCCAGGATGTTCTGTCCACAGCAGACTGAGCAGCTGGTAGAAAGATGTGATGCAATGTGACTTTGTGGCTTTGACTATAAGTCTGAGCGTATGTTTTCATAACAAAGGTAGATACTAGAAAAAATTAAGAAAATGTGTTTCTCGTACTAACCCAGATTTTCTTCTGATTGCAACAGAAATCTGTGACTCCTACTTACCATCAGTTTTTATTTTTGCATTAGCATTTAAGGAAATCAGAAATGCATTTGATTTAGTTAAAAAAACAACAGAAGAAAAAAGTGATGCTCCTGAGACTAGTTGGAAAAGAGAAGAAACACTGGATTGTAAAACCACAGAAGACCAGAAAACCAAGGAAAACAAGTACTCAACTAAAGAAAGGAGAAGTACTAGAGACGAAACTGACACTTGGGCACACATTGCTGCAGAAGATGAGCAGGAGGGTTTGGACAGTGTGTGTTCAGCAGATGAAAACTTGGGTGAGTTCGTTTGATACTGTTTTGCAGAATGCTTTCAGAGTAGTGCACCATATTGGTTACTCCCTCCCACTATAATTCTGATAAAAAATAACATTTTATTTGGATTTTATGAATAAAAACTTTATATTGAAGACTTGAGTCATTCTTTGACTTTTAAATGGATCAAAAAATACTGTTTATGGTCCTGTAATACGCTTATTAGCACATTAAGAAATTACAAAGTTTTTGGGACTTGCAACTTGTGTATTAGTAGATTCTTTTTAGAAAATTATCACATACAGGTTGTTTGCTTGCTTGTTTGTTTTGGCAGTACTCATGATTGGACTTAGAGCAGCTATCAGTGAGCTATTATCCCCAGCAATTGTTTTTTGAGACTCAGTTTCTTGAATAGGACTTAGATTTTCATTCTCTCCTCCTGTCTTCACCTCATTCCTGAGGTTACAGGCCTGCACCACCACACCTGGTTTGTACTCTTCCCTTTCAACTTGTAGTAGACAAAAACCACACAAGATACTTACAAGCAGTATTTGCAGGCATTAGAATTAACTGAGAAGGGTAGGATACAAAGTACAGAGCTGTTGGAGGGAAGGAAGACATAGGCATGTGTAGAGGAGAGGACAAACGAGTTTATCTGATGAAATTGTAATGTTTGAATCTTTAGAAATTCAGAGAATTTTTCAAATAAGTTACAATAGATGACAGACTAGATATTCTGGGAGTACTCCCCATACTGTAGATTGGTTGTATCCCATATACCTTGGTAGAACATGGTTTTGGAGGCACTGTTAATCTTACAGGAAATTGGGATAATTTCTGGGACCAGTGAGCAAAAAGAAGGGAGTTTGTTGTCCCAAAGGTAGATATCAAATAGTAGCACTGCTGTTAAGATACGAAAAACTGGACATGTGACATGTACTTGAAATCCCAACACTTTGGAGGCTGAGGCAGGAGGACTGCTAAAAGTTTGAGGCCAGTGAGGGCTGCATAGTGAGTTCAAGGCTGGCCTGAACTATATAGTAAAAGTCTGAAACAAAACAGCCCAAGAGGACACCAAACTGTAATGAGCAGTAGTAAACCTAGAAGTTTGTTTCTTAGAAAGGCTAAAGAAATAGGTAAGCTTCTGACACAGGATTAAAAAAAGAGCCCTTAGCAGTGTTTCATGTGAAAAAAAGATAAAAAATATAAAAGAATTCTATATACAACCTCTTACCAATAGATTTGAAAAATAATTATATAATTGTGACATGGAAAATTATAACGAAATCGGCTCTGACTGAGGTGATGGGACATGCCTGTCACAAGTTGAGGCCCAGCCCAGACAGCAGCTTCATATTACCCTGCTTCAGGGTTTGTTTTTTTAAGATTTTCTTGGGATGGGGTACCAGGAATAACACACATGACCCTGCCTGTAGGCAGGCATTTGTGGCATCACCTTGGGATTTAAAAGGACCAGTGATGTTGTGTAGTGCAAGGATCCTGGGTTCAATCCCCAGTACCACATACACACCAAAGAAACAGACTGAGCATCTGTTGTCCAGGTTGGGCTGGCATTTATGGGGATCCTGCTGCCTCAGCTTCCAGAGTGCGGGGATTACAGGCATGGGCCACCCATTGTGGCTCCTATAAATAATTAAAAACAAAATAATGGGTGTGGTCACATATGCCTGTAATCCCAGCACTCCAGAGGCCAGGGTAGGGTGATTACTAGGAGTCTGAGGCCACATGGGCTAGTGAAGTTCATGGCCAGCCTAAAATGCACAGTGAGATCCTGTCCCCTATGTTTCCCCCAAAAGAAATCCAAACCATAAATTGGCAGTTAAAGTAGATTTAACGCTAGGACTAGAGAGGTTTATACTCTAGAGATATCAGACAGATGGAGTTTTCTTAAACATCAATTCAGTCTTTGAGACTTCATTAACTGTTTATCGAAACCAGATAAACAGAGCCTGTGCAAATGGAATATACTTATTTAAAGAATCTTTTGTGATATGTTTTCCTTAGGAGTTATAAAGGAGAGAATCATTTAATAGCATTCTTGTTCTTTTTGTTTTTCTGTTTTATTACTTTGAGGCAGGATCTCACTGTGCAGCTCAGGCTGGCCTTGAACTTGCTGTGTAGCCCAAGGTGGCCTCCAACTAGAGATAGCCTGTCTCAGCCTCCCATGTGCTGTGATTACAAGGGTGCACCACCATGCTGGCTATATTCTTGATTTTTGAACAACCAGTCACATAGGAAAACGGTACTTTCAGTTGTTTAAAATATCACTAAACCGTTGGCAAAAAAATTTTCATAATGGCTAAACATAAGGAACATTGTTCTCAAATCAGGAGCAATACAAGGATGTCATCTGTCACCACTGTCTTTCAGCATTGTACTGTAAAGCAAAGAAAAGCAGAAGGCATTGGAAAGGAAGGAAGGACTGAAAACAGCTCTGGAGGCAGATGGTACGGTGTGTAGAGAACGCAAAGAACCAACAAACTATTGGAAGTACAATGTTACAGATTGAGGGCTGGGATCAGGCTGGTTAGGGAGTGCTTGCCTGGTGTCATCCTTAGTTCCCCTCGAAGTATCTGCATTGCAAGTGTGGTGAGGTGATGGAGTCAGTGGTTTGTGTTCTATTTTTACGTCTGCAGTTCTTATTTATTTACTTATTTTGCTACCAGGTATCGAACTCATGACCTCACGCTTGCCAGGCGCTTGTGCCGCTGAGCTAAACCCCCAGCTCTGTGCTTATTTATTTTTGAGATGGAGTCTCACTGTGCATTTCAGGCTGACCTTGAACTCATTGTAGCCCTCGCTGGCCTCAAACTGACAATACTCCTGCCTCAGCCTCCTAAGTGCTGAGATGACAGGTATGCCTAGCCAGTACACGAAAAACTTTTTTTTGTGACGGGGTCTCGCTATAAAATCTAGACTAGGTTAGCCTTGAACTGATTATGTAACCCACACTGGCCTCAGACTCGTGTTGACCCTCCTGTTTCAACGCCCCAAGGACTGGGATTATAGCCATGCACCGCTATGCCTGGCAGAGAAGCTAATTTTTAGTAGCAGTATATTTATAAGATGGCTAAGAATATTATTGGAAAAAGATAAGATTGCATGGAGAAAATTACAAAATGTTTCTTGAGTAAGTCATTAAAATCTACATATGCTATTGTTAACTAATAGAAAATCAAGATACGCACCACTGTCATCAAACTGCGTTATAAATGTCAGCATGGGGCCGAGGGCACAGCTCAGTGATCGAGCGCTTCCATAGTGTGTTCAAGGCCTCAGCTTCCGCTCCAGCACCACACAAAAACCCAGTGTGTTTCTTCATGGAATTTCCAGGTACTGTTTCTAAAGTTTATGAAGACTTAAGAAAAGCAAGTCAAGTTTTGACTTGTGGTGATCACAACTTTCTGTCTCAAGCTGGCATTGAGTACAGAATTCCAGTAGCTCTGGGGAGTACACAGCACAGCCCTGGAGAGACCTCAGGCGGGGCTGTCACACCCAATTGCTCGGGGTGACTCAGTCCCCCCAGATAAAGTGCTGATGGAGCGAGGCTTTCACTGCGAAGGTGACATTCAGGTGTTAGGTATTTAGAGCATTAAGAATATTTGTGACTCTGGGGTTGGGAAAGATAGCTTACAACAAAAATACCATAAAAAAATGATAGATTTGATTGTAGGGTACGTTCTATTTATCATAGCTACCATTAAAAAAGTGAAAAAGTGTCCAAAATATTTTAAAAACTTCAAGTTTTGTAAAGTTCAAACAAAACTACTTTTTTAGGAATGCATGTGTTTAGGGCTAAATTATTTTAAGAAAGGGTGTGACTAACTCAGATTTCAGCACAAACATTGTAAATAATGCCATTGGAGAGACACCAGGGACGAAGCAACAGCCAGCAGACCGGAGGCCCCAGACAGGGACAGATGCCACGGTGCCATCCAGCACCGGGTAGGAACGAGCATGGGTCTCTGATGACTTTGCTCCTCCAGGAGATTAAGGCGTGAGCTGCAGCCGAAGCCCGCCTGACTGACTGGGCCGCTCCCCGCGGTGGTCCTGTTATCTCAGCCTCGGGAAGCCCTCACTTGCCCACTCCCCATCTGGAGCTGGCGCCATGACGCTCTCTTTGCCACAGGGTCGGGGAACGGGGTCTCCACTGTGGTGAGACAGGGTCACGTGCGAACATTGGACCTGTCGATTCCTGTCACCCTAGACCAGAACTAAAGCATGTGAACAGCATTGCTGCTTTTGCTGCAGCTCTTCTCTGTCCTCAGAGACCGGGGAGGCGGGAGCCCACAGCCCATAGGTGTGGGGTGTGGAGCCATGGGTTGGCAGCACAAGCTGTGTGTGAGCTGCTCGCATCTTTTGCCACTTTATTTCTGTTGCTAGGTAACCTACATTTTGAGTTGGTTTTAGGTGAAAATTCTCTTACTTACTGATTTCTTTTTAATGGCATGCAGGCATTGGGAATTTCTCAGAATGAGCTGCACTGTGATCTTGGGGTGTGTGCGTGTAGTGGCGGTGAGGGAGGAGCGAGGCCCTCAGTGTGCCAGGGCCTGGGAGTCTGGCAGACGTGGGAGGAGGCAGATGGTGGTTTATGCTGCTGTCTGCGGGGCACAGCTCAGCGCTGTGAGAACAAGGAGCTTTCAGGCCCCGGGACTGGGCCATGTCCCGGACGGTGAGCGGCAGTGATTTTTACTGAGTGGTAAAATTTGTGTGTACAACTGACAACCTGTACGGACGGTTGGCCAAGTACAGAAAAAAGTCACATTAAAATGACTCATGAGTCCTCTTCCTGAATCCTCATCATTTCTCATTTTGTGAAGCAAATTAGTTGTGTACTTAAAACTTTATATATTACCGTTTCATGTTATTTATCTCCCCCGCTTCCTCGTGCTGTAGTAAGGATTGAAACTGGTGCTTTTGCACCTATCCACATCTCCAGCCCTTTCTTTTATTTATTTATTATTTTATTTTTATTTTAAAGAGGGGAAAAAACAAAACAAAAATATAAGAAAAAAGAGACAAATAACAATAACAAAAAAAACCCAATAATATAGGCTTTCAAAACAAGGTGGTAAGAACTTAACAAAGGTTATTTTGAGACTGTCTTCACCAGTTGTGAAGTTGGCTAGCCTGGCCTCAATTTGGCTGTCTTTCTCAGGCTTCCACAGTGCTACAGTTATGGGCATGTGCCACGGTGCCAAGCTATTGATCTGTATTCCTTTGGAGCACTTGGCAATGAAAAAGCAATGACTTTATTATATAATGGCCTATGTTTAAAATGTACATAGTTTTGGTTAAAACACCACAAGTTTCGTAAATAGCATTGTGGGTTTTTTGGTAATCTAGAGAGTATGTTCATAAGGCTCACGTGTATTGCAGACGGCAGGCAGCACATTCTGAGTTTGGGCATGGACCTCCAACTGGAGTGGATGAAATTAGAAGACTTTCAAAGGCACCTTGATGGGGAAGATGAGACTTCTGACACAGCAAATGCAATTCCAAATCGTGAGTGGTTTTGGAATTAGTCAAATTCTTTTAAGAAATCTGGTTATGTAAAACTTATTTTATCTGTCCTCTCGTTTTAGATTTGCTGAGGGACGCTGTGAAAAATGGAGATTATATTTCTGTAAAGGTTGCGCTTAACTCAAATGAAGACTACAACTTGGACCAGGAGGTAATGTGTCTGTCGTTGGCAAAAATTCTCAGAAAAGGAACATGGAAAGTATTTTTTTTTTTATTAACAAAATTACTTGTACATTCCAACTTTAAATTACAAAAGTAATGTGTATTTACTTTGTAAAATTCAAATGTTGCAGAACTGTGGCACCTAAAGTGTTAGTTTCTGTAATTCCTGTCAGCCCTGATGACTGGTTTGGGTGTGACCTCTCAGCTTTTGTGTGGCTTATTTTTCTCACCATGGGGGTTTTTACTTTGAGACAGCATGTCTGGTGATGTATTTCACTCATGGCTTTAATCTTTTTTTTTTTTTTTTTAATTAAAGAGAAAGAAAAAAAACATGGAGAAAAAAGGGTAGAAATAATACAGAATTACAGAAGAATAATAAACAGTAAGAAATCATCAGTTGAAAGTTACATATTGTCATCTTAGAAATGGTTGTTCAGGTTACAAAATTAATCTAAAGTGACATTCAAATAGTGACACTGCCAACAGTTCTGCTCAATGATTCAACAAAAACTTGTTTTTTATCTTAAAGAGGGTAAGATTAAACATATCAAAAGAGAACAAAACAGTTCAAAAAGAAACAATTTAAATAAATACAGATTTCAAAGCAAGTTCACTGGAGATTTTCACTTATTGTCTTTAGTTTTCTTCCAAATAGTTGTTCCCATCTTCACTCTCTGTAGGTTGGGTTGGTGGCCATGAACTCCCACAGTTCCTCCTTGTCTTGGAAACATCTTATTTCTCCACTAATTTTGAGAGAGAATTTTCTGGGTATATCAGTCTTGGTTGCAAATTATTTTCTTTCAGGGCTTGAATAATTTCTCCGCAGGCTCTTCTCAATTTGAGACTTTAGTTGATAAGTCTGTTGTTATTTTGATAAATTTTCCATTGTAGGTAATTTGCTTCTTTTCCTTTTGCTGCTTCTGTTCTTTTGGTGGATTTCTGGAATCTTGATTATTATATGTCTGGTGGTAGGTCTGTTTGGGTGGTAGGTAGCTAGAGTTGGGTGTGCCTCATTTATCTGGATATCATTTCTTTTTCCTATGCTTGGGAAGTTTTCCTTTAATATATCTGTGAATATTCTTTGTAGTTCATTTTTGGTTACTCCTGCTTCCTCGCTCACATGGGTTTTTCTTAAGTTATGTATCATTTTGTCTTCTAGCCTTCAATTGTTTCTTTCTGGTTCCTTGCTATTTTTCAGAGGGCTTTTCTTTCCTGGAATCATATTTCATAAATCTTTCTTCAAGTTTCACAAAGCTAACTTTAGTTTCTGTCAAGTCATTTTGCCAGTTTTCAATGGAGTTTTTAGTTTCCTGGTAATCTCTTTGGATCAGTTTCATGTATTCTAGGTTATGTTTAAATTCTTCATCAGAGGTTTCTCTTTCTTTTCTAATTTTCTCTATTATTCCATCTGTGTTCTCTTGGGAGGGGCTTATCATTTCTTTAATTAATCTCTTTATATTTTGCCTCACTTGGATCAGAAGTACAGTTTTAAATTCATCTCTGAGGTCATGGAGATATTTCTTAATACCCACTGATGCTGTGTCTAGTATTGAATGGTTACTGTGCTGGTTCTCTTCTGTATTTGCTTCTCCTGAGCTTATTTTCCCAGGTTCGGCAGCTGGAGATTTTTTTTTTATTTCTATCTCTTGTCATGTTTCTGGTTTCTTTTAGACTGGTGTGTTCTCGGGGTCTCTGGTCCTCTCCGTATTGCTTAGGGTCTTTCTGAAGCGTGCTGACTGGAGTTTTTGCTGCCCTGCCCAATTTGCTGTTATGTGAGGTAGGCAGGGATGCAGGGACGGTGCAGGCTAGCTTCCAGCTTCTGTGCCAGCCAATACGCAAGTTAGGCTGTACCTTGTAGACGTCACAGAGTCACGACAATTTTGTATCTGCTTATTGTGTCCCAACCAGAGGTGTAGCTCAGCCCCAGCAGACCCTGCCAGTACTCTCTGCACCAGGGGTGGCTAACTGATGTCACCATGGAGCAGGGCTCTGCACAGTTCCAAGATGTCCTCCACCAGTCCTGTCTGTGTCACTGACACCATCACAGACCGGGCTCTGCCCAATTTCAAGATGTCTTCCACCAGACCTCTCTGCTCCAGCAGCGACTATCTGATGTCACGATGGCACCAGGTTCTGACCAACACCAAGATGTCCTGCATCAGTCCTCTCTGTGTCACTGATACTGCCATGGCGCTGGGCTCTGCCCAATTCCAAGATGTCCTCCAGCCAGCCACAGCAGCCACGGGACCTAGTCCCTCGTGCTCACTGGGACTCAATGCAGATCTTCCTCTTAGGTCCACTGCACACTGCGCCGCTTGTCTTCACTGCGTTGCTTGTCTTCACTGTGTTCTCAGCACAGTGCTGAGTCAGGAAACTGCGCGGTGTCCGGCTTTGGAGCTCTGGAGCTTCTCGCAATCTCCTCCTGTGTGGCCAGGTGGCTTTGGCTGCTTCGTGGGGTTCCAGATCTCAATTTCTAACAGTTGCCAAGATCCAATACAGCTTTTCCCCTTTGATCCACAGCTCACTGTGTCGTGTCCTCCTGTTAAAGGTCTGAGATTTGCAGATTCCTGTTATCGGCAGCCCCGGTATCAGCACGACCTTAAATCCTCCAACTGTGCCTAGTATAGTGTGCAAAGGGGCTCAGTGAGCACATTGGGTTTCAGTTCTCCACCTGCGCTTTGCCTTCCTCTTCCTGGTTTTATTTTTCCCTTCGGTTACTTCCTTGGTTAATAAGAATCATTATCCATTCGTCTGGCCCTCTCTATGTTGTCATATTCTAGCATCTGATCTGATTTCTCCACAGAGACTCCACCCAGCCCCCTAGCAAGCTGCCATTTTCGAACTCTCCATGGCCTTAATCTTAGAAAAGATTTTATTTTCTTAGTTTACTTGTGTTGAATATTTTCAAGTTTTAGTCCTTTGAGCTTGCAATTCAGAAAACGCCTTAGAGGGCAGAGATTTAGCTCAGTGGCACAAGTGTTTGCCTGGCAAGCTCGAGGTCATGAGTTCAATCCCCAGTGGCCCCTCCCCCCAAAAAAAGGAAATTAAAAAGGTTTAGAACTGGGGCTGGGGATTTAGCTCAGTGGCATAAGCGCCTGCCTTGCAAGCCTGTGGTTGTGAGTTCAATCCCTGGTACCGGTAAAAAAAAAAAAAAAAAAAAGTTTAGAATTTAAAATTACATCTCATATATATATATATCTGAAAATTTTTATTTACATTTGGGACTTCCATCTTGGAATAATTTGGTAAATTCAATAGAGTTTTTTCGTTGCCTAGCTCTTACACATTTGTACATATTTCCTACATGTCTCAAAATATGTGTTCTTCCTGTGACCACTTTTCACTTACTGTTTTCCAACTGGTTGTTGCCTAAACATGATAAAGCTGTTTTTGCCTCCGCAGAGACGGGTAGACATTGTCTTCAGCCACTTAATGAAATTCTCCTACTAAGGTCATTTTTAAGTTTTAATACTTTCATCGATCTCAAGGGGGAGAATTTGACTAGCAATCCCAGGGCTCACTCATTAAAGGGAGTGTTCTGTAGCTGAGGTATAGCCTTTCCCAGCCCTTTTTCTTTTTTGTCTTTTTTTTCTTTTTTAGTTGTTGTTGTACTGGGGATCAAACCTTGCGCTTGCCAGGCAGGCGCTTATACTGCTGGGCTAAATGCCCAGCCCAGAATTTCTTTGTTTTTAGATCTTAATGCATATTTTTCAAGCCACAGTACTCCTTTTATTTTTGTTTTAAGCAGGTTTTTTTTTTTTTTTTTTTTTGGTACTTGGGATTGAACTCATGACCTCATGCTTCCTAGGCAGGTGCTTATGCCACTGAGCTAAATCCCTGGCCCTTATTTTTCCTTTTAGACAGTGTCTGGGTAAGATGCCCACTCTATCCTTATACATGTGACCACTCTGCCTCAGTCACCTAGGTAGCTGCTACCACAAAGATGTTCTGGCACCTGACTCACTGTTCATTTTATATGGTACAAAGTTAGGATGTTTGTTAGGGATTCAGTACAGGAAAGCTGTGATATTTTCTGGTAACATTTACATATGAGAAGACTCCCGATGTTGTTTCTAGTTGTTGCTTAGTACATTTTAGTGAAAAATATAGGGATATGCATAAATAAATGCACTCTAGTGATTGCACATTGAAATATCCTGACTAAAGAGACTTGTTTCTAAAATTATTAAATGACTAACAGGCTTTTTCATTCACAAACCAATCAAGGACTCCAGTGGGATGACACTGGTGATGCTTGCTGCAGCAGGAGGGCAAGATGACCTCCTGCGACTCCTCATCACCAAAGGTGCAAAAGTGAACGGGAGGCAGAAGAATGGGACTACGGCCCTCATCCACGCTGCAGAGAAGGTTCGTGAAATCACTACGTCAGATGACTCGGGAGTGTTCTATAGTGCAATACAATGGTCATATGGTCACTTTAATATTCAGGTTGATCTGTGACATGTTATAGTTTTAATACCTGTAATTTTCTAGCTATATTTTCAAAATGTATTTGGAAATAATTTTTATTGATTTCATCTAAACTACTAGTATTGCTTTAGACCTTAGATAATGTATCAAAATTGTGTCTTTGGTTAATAACTTAAACTGTTCCCATGTATTGTCATTTTAAAGGATGTACATTACAGAGTTTTCTTAATTAGAAGTCAGTTGAAGGCCTAACCTGTGGTGGCTGTGTAGGTGCAGGGTGGGGGCAGGTCCAGAGTGCATGACTCCCTGGCCCACAGTGAAGAAACAGGTGATAGTGGCCAGCCACCCATTTGACATAAATCTACCCAGTCTTTCATGGGGATGGAGGTTTTAGAATATCCTAAAAAGTCTGATGTTTTGGAATTAATTTTGCTTTTTTTAAAAAAAAACAGAACTTTTTAACCACCGTGGCTATTCTTTTGGAGGCGGGAGCCTTTGTAAATCTTCAGCAGAGCAATGGCGAGACTGCACTCATGAAGGTAAGCTGTTCAGCCCCTCAGCCAGGTGTGTATGCTGGTGCCTGGGGAAAGAACGAAGTAGGCAGTGCCCGGACTGGGTGGGCCATTGGAGCAGCACTAAGCACATGGTGTGGTTGCACTGTGACCGGACTTGCGATCCTGAGACAAGCCTTGGCGTAGATGTAATGAGGGCCACACTGGGTCCTGAAGGCGCACATCCACAGGAACTAGAAAATGAGGTGGACAGATCCAGGGCTGTCGAGATAATTTATTGAGGGTTTATACAGCAGTGATACAGGATTGAAGTGGGTTCGTAAACAACATTGGAAGCCAAGTAGCCAAATTGATACATTTTGGGATTTTATTAGCTGAGCTCAGCAAGCACTTGCGTAAACCCTTGTTTCAGAGTCCAACTGCGTGGCCCCAAACTGGAGGGTTACAGGGCATTTAAAGCAGAAAACCACAAAGCAAGACATCCTGTTAGAAACAGTTTAGCTGGAATCTTTGATTAATTTTGGTTGACACCAGTATCCTGCTTCTTTGTTGAGCAGGTTAATGCTTCTGTTGTGGGTGAAGCTCATTCTGCTTTTCTCATGATGTTTGTACCCTGAGTAATTTTTGACTCCACTGGGTCAAATACAGGACACAAGATGGCATCAGTTATGCGAGGCTGCAACAAGGGTCTCCATGCCCAAGTTAGGAGAGCGCTTCTCGTCTTTGCAGATGCTTTGGCTCTCTGAGTGTCCCCTTCTCTCACTGAAGGTTTCTTTCCCAGACCTTCACTTCTGGGCATGTGAGGGATCTGCAGGGCCTCCAGCTGTGCTCTGTCATTTAGTAACTTTTTAAAAGAATTAAAGGTGGAGTGTTGCCAACTGACTGAGTTGCTCAGCTGGGCTCAGACTTGCAGTCATACTGCTTTACCTCCCAGTGGCTAGGATGACTGTGGACATGCCACCATGCCTGGCTGGCAGACACGTTCCCAGAGGAAGGTGGTTGGAGCCTCCAGATGCCCTGTGTACCCCATTAATTAACTCCCAGGCTAGCAGGTTTATATCTGCCTCACTGCGCCCAGCCCAGTGCTGCTTTGCTCCTCTATTGCTCTGGGTTCCTGGCGCAGCACCTGGGAGGACATAGCAGGCCCAGACACTGAGCCAAAGGGGCTCTGTCTTTCTGGCCTGGCCCTGGTAGACAGCCTTACCAGCCTTATGTAAGCTGTCAGCCTTACGTATGCCGTAAACGGAGTGGGATTGACTCCTGTTGCAGGTTTGCTCAGCCTTTCTCCATCAAATTCTGCACTCTTCACAGACTACTGCCACATCTGTGTGGTGAGGGGGACGTGTGCTAGCCGGTAGTTATCATTTATAGTTAATTACCTGTCACTCTTTTCTCTGACCTAGGCTTGTAAGAGAGGAAATTCGGACATTGTTCGGCTTGTAATCGAATGTGGAGCTGACTGTAACATTTTGTCAAAGCACCAGAACAGTGCATTGCACTTTGCAAAGCAGTGTAACAATGTGCTTGTGTATGACTTGCTGAAGAGTCATCTGGAGACGTAAGTAGAGTGCAGGTCCACAGTTGCATCACAGAGCCTGCTTATTTGGACACATTGTCACTGGACTGGTCTCATTGCTCAGGAAAAGGAGGCAGTATGTAAAATGACATGCTTCTGTTCTTGCAGATCATGAAGTTAGTGGCATGCTTTATTTTTGTGCATGTTATTAAAGTCTTAGAAAATATCACATAGTAACTCTTAGGAGTATCTCCTTAAAATCTTATAATTAGGTATGCTGTTAATTTGGCTGACATTTCCTTAAAACCTTTTCCACTATTCTGTAATATTTCTGTATTTTAGAGTAGCTTGAACTTCACCAAAAAATTGAATGGAAAGTAGAGTTCCACATATACCTTCATCCCCCACCTTTGTTAGCACCCCTACATCTGCTTGCAACACATCATCATCCTTAGACCACAGTTCACACAGAGTTCAGGAACATTCCCTGTGGCTGACCCCAGTGTGTAGTGGTCAGCATTCACCATCATATCATAGAGCAGTTTTGCTGCTTTAAAAATTATTTTCTACATCTTTGTCCCTTGCATCCACCCCCTAGGAGCCCTTGTTGTTGGCTATCTAATTTGCCCATTCCACAGTATTTGGGATCATACATTGTCTGGCCTTTTCAGATTGATTTTCATTTAACTGCAGCTATGTATGATTCCTTCCATGTCTGGAGGCTTATTCCTTTACAGCACTAACGTTCTGTGTACCAGTTTTTGTTTTTTTGTTTTTGTTTTTTTGTTTTTAATTTCAAGAGGATAAAAGAGTAAAACGAAAACAAACCAGTGTAAAAGATACTTTAGAACATTATGACTTTAGAACATTATGAGATCAACAGTATTTACTGTAATGCCTTTTGATGTCTTCACGATTGCTGCAGATAATTCTGAATATAGTGAAAAATTAAACAAAATAGAAATAAAAACAAAATAATGTTCAATAAAGGATTTCAAAACAAGCCAAAAGTAAATCCAACATTGCTACCATAATATATCTTGCCATCTTTGAAATAGCTGCTCCTGCCATTGGATTTAACATAATCAAAACAAAAGGGAATACAACCCAACCCAACAAAACAATGAAAATGATATAGGTCCTCAATACAAGACCATGAGGAATCAACAATGGCTGCAACCCTCAGACGGCGATCCCCTCTAGATGTCACACTGTGTATTGCTGTCCTCTGAGCCTATGATCAGACCACTGGCCCTCGACCTGCAGTGTTGGTGAAACATCAGAGCACCACAAGCATCCAATTGCATTTCACCCCTACCTGTCATCACAGCCTGTGTTTCTCTGGATAAGCCGGTTGCTTGTGGGGTGGGGGTTGCTACTTCTTGTTTGCCAGCCTGTGTGCTGGAAGGGGCTGGTGTCTGTTTGTTCCAGTCCAGCAGCAGCCCACACATGACGTTGCTTCCCAGACTGGGCTTGCTTCCTGGTGTGGCCTTGCTCGCTCTCCACCCAGTCCACAAATGGTGCTCATGGCAAGAGTCTGGAGTCTGTCTCTTCCAGTCCAGTGGTAGCCCGTATATGGTTGTGTTTAGTTTTTTAAAGTGACTTCCAAGTCTTACTTTATTCTAAGTTCATACTTCATAATACAGGTATCTTTTTATCACTTAATAATTATTTTGGCAGTGTCTTCCAGAAATGCTACAAACATTAGTGAGCAAATTAAAACAACATTGAGTGTCCACCTCATCCCAGAAAGAATGGCTAGTATCAAGAAATCAAACAATAACAAATGCTGGATGGGCTGTTGGGAAAAGGAACCCTTCTCTACTGGTGGTGGGAATGCAGACTGGTGAAACCACTGTGGAAATCAGTGTAGAGATTCTTCAAAAAACTAGGCCTGGAGGTCCCATCTTGCTACTCCCCTTTTGGATATCTTCCCAGAAGAATTAAAAACATGATATCACAGTGATATAGAGGCACCCATGGTTATAGAAGCACAGCTTTAAATAGCCAAAAATTGGAAACAACCTGCATGCCAACTGAGCAATAGATAAAAAAAATTAGGGTATTTTATACAGTGGTGTACTACACAGCCTTAAAAAAGGAAAAACTGGAAACCTACAGGTAAATGGATGCAACTTGACAACATAGTCATTAGTGACATAAGTTAGACCCACATATATAAACATATTGGCTCCATGTGACAAGCTGAAAGAAAAAACATGCATGTGTGTATATATAAAAGAATAGTTAACATAGTTATACAAGGTCACTGAAGAGAAAGAATTGTGCTGGTATTGTTCCAACAGTTGAATAAAAAGATGTCTTGTGCTGTGGGTGACTGATTTGGGGATGACAGTACCATTGTTGCCGCCCGATTGATGTGTTTTGAAATTGTTTTTTTCCTTTTTATCCTTGAAATACAGTGAATTTGAAAAATAAAATGAAGAACAAAAAAAATTAGTGAGCTGAACAAAGTGTTGTTTTCCATACAGTGAGCACCTCCTTGGCACTCTGGGGGGTCAAGCTGCTCTTCCTGCCTCCAGATCCCATCCTAGGAAATCATTAGCCCTTCCTGCCTATAAACTTGTTACTCCAAATACATGCAGAGAATCTATACTCTAAGCGGAACAAAACGTACATTTTAGACAAGAGACCAAAAGACATGTCAGGCCCATGCCTGGTCTGCCTTCCCAATAGCCGTGTTCCTCTTTCAGGCCAGGCTCTGAGGAACCCCCAGAACCCTCAAAAGGCTTCCCTGTCCTTTTCGGTTCCCTACAAAGAGCCTGCCTTCCTGTTTGCCCTGAACTGATGGTCTCTCATTCTTTATTCATTCATTAAGCAATTTTGAGCAGACACTGTATTAATGACCAGGATAATGGAGATAGAAGCAGAGAAAAAGACTTGGCCTTTAGAGTTTCAGTTACAGTGAGAGTCTAGTACAGTCTGATAGTTGCCTGCTGCAAGAGGGAATGAGCAAGAAGTGGGGTGAGGGCACAAGTGCTGTTCCCATGTGATGCTGAGTCTATCTGTGGTGCTGTTGGGTGTGTCAGGACACTCAAAACATCTGTCGTTTACTAGGCTTTCAAGAGTGGCTGAAGAGACAATCCGAGATTACTTTGAAGCTCGCCTTGCTCTACTGGAACCTGTCTTCCCAATAGCATGTCATCGACTTTGTGAGGGGCCAGATTTCTCAACAGATTTCAATTACAAACCTCCACAGAACATGCCAGAAGGTAAGCCTGTTTTTATCCTGAAGCTTCTTATTTTGAGGTAGACACTGTAAATATTCACTGATTCTTAGAACCTTAAGTAAAACCTTTAAAAAACACTGTGTGTAATAATTATGTAAAATAGTTAACAGCAGAGCTGCTGTGGCAGAAGAGAAAGCTACTGATGCCCACTATCCTCGGTGACAGTAGGGTCCACAGATGCACAGCTGTAATCCCAGCAGTCCAGAAGCTGGCTGAGGCAGGAGGATCATTGGGAATCTGAGACCAGTGTGGGCTACAAAGTGAGCTCAAGGCCAGCTTAAACTGTATAGTAAGACTGTCTCAAAAATACTCTCCCCGCCTTCCCCACTAAAAAGACAAAAAAAAAATGCATGAAGCTGCCTGTCCCTAATACTTATTTTGAGAATTGTGAAGTTACTGCCATTACTAATGGTCTTTTCCCTTTTAAACAGAAAAAGAATGTTTGCCTAGAGTAAACAGTAAAAAGACACAAAAACTTCCCTCCTGACTCCTGGCCTCTGCTGAACAGCTCCTTTAATGGCCGGACTGTGGCCTTGTTAGAAGCTACATATACATGCAGTATGCAGTCTCATTTCGGTCTTAAAGGAGGGAGCTGGGCTCTAGCCATTTTGTTAGAAATTTCTTTTCTCCCCTTTAAACATAGGTGATTCATTAGTGAAAATTTTTATTAAAATACAGCCCAGTAGCAGTAAAGACAGCCATCTTGAAGGTGCCGCCCCCCCCCGCCCCCCCCCCAGTTTTGAGACAGTTTTACTATGAAGTTCAGGTTGGGCTTGAACTCACCCTTGTAGCCCATATTGGCCTTAACAAACTCCGTGATCCTCTGCCTCAGCCTCCCATGTGCTATTTACAAGCATGTGCCATCGCACCCGGCCTTCATCTGTAGCATTTCCATGTTTGAATTTGATATTGAAGATAGTCATTTTAGTGCTGACTACTCGGCATAACTATATGCATTGCTGAGATAGGTTTTTTGGTGAACTTCTGTGATTGGTTGTGTGTACATCTACCAGAAGTTACTACGAATTCACTTGATATCTTACTTTGCCAACATGTGTTGCTATGTTATTTATATTCTTTCATCATTGGGACAAAATACCCAACACTCAAAATGAAGGAAAGGTTTATTTAGCTCAGTTTCGGGAGGGTACAGTCCATAATCAGCTGGCTCCAGGGCAGTGTGGCATAGCACAGGAGAAACACTTCAAGGCAGTAAAAGACAGCAAAGGGCAAAAAGGTAGGGAGAACAAGCCTCTTCTGTACCATCCCACCAGGGCAAGTGTAACAATCTCACCACCCCCTGCCGTCCTCTTGCTCAGACTAAACCCTGCTGGATCACTTACACTTTGAAATTGATACAATGGACAATATCCTAGAGGGTAATAGGGCATCCCAGGATGGAGATGTTGAGTCACTTAGTCAAGCTTCTATACTTCTCAAGTTGACACAATGTATCAACCAAAATACCCTCTTCCCCTCCCTGATGGTCTTCTGAGCCCTACTCCTCAAGCTAGCTCCTTAGCTGGGCTGTCAGCTCCTGGAGCCCAGCCCTTGGAAATGTCAGGATTGTGGTTTGCAAGCACTTTTAAGCTGTAGGTTTACCTCCTGTGGCCTGTCATTTACTAATGTGTAGTGTGGTAGGAGAGTGTATGTGTCTCCTGTATCACTTTGTGAGAGACTATCAGAGGGACTGTCTATATTCTGTGTGGACTTTGACCTCTCTGTTGTTAGAAAGCAAAGTCTGGGTCCTATTGCCACCATGTTCAGAGGTGAGGACCTAGGGTTTAAATGCCCATTGTTCCTGAGAGTGGAAGAGGTATTTCTTTGAGGTCCCCAGATGGCCTCTTGTTGATAACTAGTCTATATGAAACTGGTTGCCTTAGTGTAAAAGAACTCTTTAACTGTACAGATGGATTTTGTGTTTTATTAAGAATACTTCTGGACATGTAGTAAAAACTTCACATTGTATGATTTTGATTCCAAATAAGATAAGGGAAGAAGGAAGCCAGGATGTGTAAGAAAATGGAAAACCACTCATTGTCACACAGACAGACCACCACTGAAACATCTGGGTTTGCTCCCTTGCACATGCATACTTTCAGCAGCAACTTTCAAACAAAAACTAAAACAGTGAGGAAAACATCCTGTTTGAAAGCTTTTCCTAGAAACTACCAATAGGGATTACTTGGGCAAGAACTGAGAATTGCTAGGCTTTTGTGTGCTGGCAGGCAGCAGGCCTGGTGGTGGTCCCTCATGTGCCATGGCTTTCCTAGGGACCAGCTCCTTCCCCTAGTGACAGCACCCAGAGTTGAAAGGGTGGCCCATGTAGTAACCTCTTCCCACCTCCCTTCTTTAGGTTGTGGCATCCTGCTGTTTATTTTCCATGCAAACTTTTTGGGTAAAGAAGTTATTGCTCGACTCTGTGGACCCTGCAGTGTACAAGCCGTAGTTTTAAATGATAAATTTCAACTTCCTGTTTTTCTGGTAAGATTTTTTTTTTTACAGCCCAGTGCTCATACTTGTTCCAACCAAAGCCCAGATGGTTTATTTAAATTCCTGTTTAAATAAAGCATGATCATTCATTAAGCAGTCTAGTTACTTCCCAGTTACTGATGAGATAGATTTGCTGTTTATAACCAACATTATTTTGAATATGAGTTCTTAGGGCACAAGAAACCTGATTTTAAATATCAGGCCTTTTTCACCATTATAATTGTTCACTTAAAACTTAGAAATTCTCATGCTTTAATTTTTAATGCATAATCAGATAGTGGCTATATGAACTCTATCTTGAGATAATAAATCTTCTTTAGCAGGATTTTTATAATTCTCCCATCACTTTTTGATTTCTGTCACTTGATATTACGTCTAATTATTTTGGTTAAAATTTAGACAATTATCAACTAACCCCAAATGTTTTTTATATTGTTTTATGTAATTTGGCTTTTTAATACTCTAAGCCTAAATTTATTTATTGTTATGGGGATTAAACTCATGTCCTCACACTTCCCAGGCAGGCACTTCTGCTGCTGAGCTAAATCCCTGACCCAAATCAGGAAGATTTAGATAGCACATTTTATAGAAAAAGAAAATCTACATTCTTTTCTACTACTGAAGTTGTAGTAGGGTCTCACTAAAATCGTGAGATAGAATTTGCTAGATGTCTTTGTATTTAAAAAAAAAGCACAATACTAACACTTTATTTTCTTTCCACTCTAGGACAGTCACTTTGTTTATTCTTTCTGCCCTGTTCCAGGCCCTAATAAGCTCTTCATAAGGTTGACAGAAGCACCTGCTGCTAAGGTGAGGTGGTTTCATGTTCACTGTTATATTCCAGTTGCTGATGCAGATAACTTTGTCCGGAAAAGAACAGAAACTCCCTACTGTACATAGGGTTCCTTGGTCTCCAGAGAGCAGGGGTGTGTGTGTGTGTGTGTGTGGGCGGGGGGAGGGTGTGTGTGTGTGCTGAATTGGCATGCCATCAGTAGATGGCGGGCTAGGCTGAAGGTGAACTTAAGAATGTCCCTGAGCAGCAGTCTAGGATCCAAGAGTGTTAGACCTCTTCAGGTATAAGGAAGTTGACTAAAACAGTCTGGTAATGACTAACAAGAGTTTATAAAAATCAAATTATAAACACAACTATTATTATTTTTACTAAAATAGTAATCTGTAAATCAATGAACTGCGCTGAAAATATTTTCCAGCCAAGTGGCCCTGATGTTTTTAGAGGGGAACTGTGTTCTGCACTGACATGCGTTTCCCTCCCCAGGTGAAGCTGTTGATTGGTGCGTACAGAGTGCAGCTTCAATGACCAGACAGGACTGGGACGTGGCATTCAGACAAATGCTCCCCTCATCTCTTGGAAGCCATCTCGAATTCTGGTGCACCTAAAACTTTTTAAGTGTAGTTTCATCTGTAAACCTCTTAAGCATCTGTTTTGGTCTGTGAGACTGTTGGTGGCCCTAATATATATTTGAAATATAGATGTAAGTGTGCCAGTCTTCTGAAATTCAGCGTTGCACCAAGACTGCATTACTTTATTTTTCCACAGTGTGGAACAGTACATAGGAAGATTAAGAAAATTAAAACTTTTTTCTTTTTAATAACTTTGAATTTTCTACTAGTCTTGGTGCATTTCTGTGTAAAGAAGCGAAAAACATGTAGGTGCAAAGCACCAGTTTACAGTGAGGGAGGCATGGTCTATGCACTCAGGTTGCACAGACACCGAATAAAGGTCGGCTCTGCTGCCCTTGCCTATGACTGCTGTCACACAGTAGTGATGGTGGCGGTCACTACCCAGCTGTCCCGCTGCCACAAAGGACAGGGATACTAACACCTCTGTGTAAAGTGCAGTTTCAGCTTATCCTTTAGAAAGATGATAAAATAAAAACCTAAGATGCTGCAAGACTATTGAGAACTTCTTTTGCTTAAGTTCAGAGTAATTCTGAAAAGCCGTTTCACATGAACACAGCTGGGAGGCCATCACGGTCCTGGCTGAGCCTTGCACAGCTCTGCAGGAGCTCTTTCCCAGAGTGTGGGCCACAGTGCACGCTTTACTGCTAAGTACGCAAATGTGAAAATGCAGTGTTAAGGGGCCTGACTCTGTGAGCTACTGAACTACCTTCCCCACTGAGCTACCCTCCCCAAGCAGGGTTGCTGCATCACCTGGGTTGGGCTTGAATTTGCTCCTCTTGCATCTGCTCAAGGTGCTGAGATTACAGACATGCACCACACCTGGCCTCATTAACAGTTTTTAGTTCTATGAAATACACATGACAGGTCAGAGAACTACTACTTCTCATTTTGTATTTTAGGACTTCAAAACCAGGATCACTGGGTAGTTTTCTAGTTAAATGTTGGCCACAAAGTTTTCCGTACTGTATCTGGCTTCATTGCTTAAGATATACAACAGTTTTGAAATACAGTTTCTGTTACCAAAAGTAAGCCTAAACTGAGCCTCGGGGAGACCATGAGAGGTACCTACTCTTAATGTAGACAAAGTGGGGCAAGCGTGCACACACGCACGCATGCACACACACAGAGCAGGAAATCAGCATAGTCCTTTCAGTTTAGGCTGAGAAATGTGGATGACATCGATGTATGGGTGAGGATTTGACAGCTGGAAAAGCTGGCCAGTTTTTTGTTTTTTTGTTTTTTTTTTTTTTTTTTTCTTTTTCCTTTTTATCGGTACCGGGGATCGAACTCACGACTGCCTGCTTACAAGGCAGGCGCTTATGCCGCTGAGCTAGATCCCCAGCCCCCTAGCTGGCCAGTTATTATGACTGGAATGTGAACCTCCGAGGTCACCTTGTGATGCTGCCTGGAGTTGTCTTCAGCTTGCCCAGGTGTGCCACTGATGCCCGTCGTAAATACAGCCGCACATCTAGCAGGCACAAACCTGCTTGTGTTTGTGAGAAAAAAAGTGAACAGTGATAGTAGTACTTTTTGAAGGGTAAAGGAGACTTACATCAACCAGATACCCCAACCCCAAGCTGTTTCCTGATGAGCAACTAAGCTGGTCTTCAACAGGCAGCATTTCCCTTGGCTAATGCTGCTGCTTGGTCACATAAACATAGTTTTCAAAAAAGGGAATGAGCAAGCAGTGATTTCTCTGGCAAAAAAATTTATTTTCATTTTTTGGTACCGGGGATCATGACCTGGAGCTTGCCAGGCAGGTGCTTATGCCACTGCGTTAAATCCCTGGCCCCATTAAAGATGTTTTTTTGTGTTTGTTTTGTCTTTCTGAGACATGGTCTCACTGTGCAGTTCACGCTGGCCTTGAGCTCACTTTGTAGCCTAGGCTGCTCTCAAACTCTCAATGATCCTCCTGCCTCAGCCTCTGTAGCGCTGATTATAGGTGCGTGCCACCATGCCTGGCTTAACAAAGCGATTCTTAAGCAGCATTTTATTAAAGGTTTACAGATACGCTTAAAACTACAGGTCTCAGCCAAAGCATTGTTTTTACACACTTGGGATATGAACTGAATGGTCTTTTTTTTTTTTAATTGGTACCGGGGATCGAACTAATGACCGCCTGCATGCAAGATAGGTGCTTATGCCGCTGAGCTAAATCCCTAGCCCTGAACTGGTCTTACGACAAGCAGATCACCAGCAAAAAGTAGTCATCACAGATATTTTAATTAAATTATCCTAATTTAAGAAAGCATTATCTCCCCTCTGCCATTGTTCCTTTCCCATGCAAGGGAAGGGAAGGGAAGGAGAAAGGTTAGGGTTAGGTTTAGGTTAATTACTAATTGTAATGACTTATACCTGGTTGGGCTTAGTGGCTTACCTACCAAGTACATAATACATTCTTCTGTCTACAGTACCAGGTGCTAAAGAAAAGGGTTTGTAAATGTTTAATGCACAGAAGAGGAGTGCAGTCCATCTTACTCGACTTATACTCTAGTCCCTTGTTAATCCCAACTCAATAATAAAAACTGGTAGACTCTGACTCAGGATGATACACTGAGTGTGAAGTGCACATGCTGTATGGGTTTCACTTCACACCACAGGCCATGTGCCCTTGCACTAGTGTGAGCTGTGCCATGCTAGTGCTCACAGGGGTCGCAGAACAGGCAGAAGCCCAGGTATGAGCTGCAAAAGCAAAAGAGCCCCAGGAGGAACAGCACATGTCCTGCATGGGGTGTGTGTGTGTGTGTGTGAAAACACTGACGCAAAGGACAGGACAAAGAACCGTGAGTGTTTTAATGTTTCACAGTTTCCATGTTTCTTGGCGCAATGCAGGGTAAAGGCCCCAGTGCTGGAGTCCACTGGCCTAACTTATAGGTGGCTCCTTTCAGGAGCTAGAGCTCTGATGTATCTGGGTAGGTACACCTTACCAGTCCACTGCAGAGGGAAGGACAGTGAGAGTTGATGCAGTTGGCTCAGGGTCATACTAAAAAAAGGTCTGTTGATTCTGTCCATCATGAGCATCAGGGCCCACCAAGAGTCTAAGCTGAATACTTGGCATCAGTTCATTTAGGGAAAAAACAAGCTCTACGAAACACTGTGCCACACTATCTGTTCACAACCCGCCTTATTTGCTCACCCTGAATCACATCCTCTGCTTATTTCTTCCAACAAGACCGCCAAATTTCTTCCTTCCTGTCTGTCCCCACTTCCTTTCTTGTACGGGAGGGATAAACTCTCTACCACTGCCTCCTTAGCCCTAAGCTGATCTCAATCCTCCTGTCTCATCCTCTTGAGTCACTGGAATTACAAGTATAGGTCACCATGCCCAGCTGCAAATGTGTACCATTTGAACTGTAGAAAATATGCCCATGGAGCATATTTAAAATGTTACTCATTTTTTCAAAAATTGCTTATGTGGACTAACTCATACTTGTTTACTGGCTTGCTTGTCCTGGGTACGGAGAACATTTCCCATATAGTGTTTTGACCTGAAAAAGAAATTCTCTGTTAGTAAAGTACAATTCATAGTATACTTCTATAGCAACAACAAATAAAATAATGTGCTGTCTTGAGCAGAAATAAACAATATTTAACACCTGAATTAATCCATTTCATCTATAAAAATTTCCTCAAATCCAGTGGCTCTGTTTTTTTTTTTTATTTTTTTTTTTTAAGCCAGTCAAATTTAGCAGTGGGGGGGTGGTATACCAACTTTAGTGACACTAATGTTAATAAGTTCTGATAACCCACTGCCATCGGACCAGCCTCCAGTGGTTTTGTGGTGTTTGGGATTGAACTGGGACCTTGCGCTGTAAGATACGTTTGTATGCTAGCTACCTAAGTATGTAACAAGTTGTCTATGTTCTGCTATAAAAATGGTGAATATGATGTAACACACAAGAAATAAAAACAGTGAGTCCACACACACACACCCATCCCTCCCAAAAAACCATTCCAGAGAACAGCTGCACTATCTGCAACCTAATTAGAAACACACATTTTGAGGCCTGACCAGAAAAGACCAACAGTCCGTTTTAAAGGGATTCTATTAAACATTCCAAATGAAAACCACCTGTTTCAAAGGATACCAGGGACACTGTCCATTTCACCTAATAATTCCCTGGGTCAGTGATTCTCTAGTAAAATCCTACACTACCTGAAGGGTTCGAGTACGGAGTCCACCCTACTAAGGCAAAGGGTCTGAGGATAGGCATTTTGACCTGTCCCAAAAGCAATGGTATCCTATAGATGGCCTGACAAGCAAAGGCTAGGATTAACTTTTGAGAAGCCAAATAACAGTATGAAAAACATCTGTGAGCCAGGCATAGTGGTACACACCTGTGATCCTAGGGCTCAACAGGTTGATATAAGATGATTACAGAGATTTTAGGGCCAGCCTGGGCTGTAACGTGAGTGTTTCTTAAAGGTACAATCAATATCTCTGGAAAGTAATTAAATGTGCCCAGGCAACAGTCAGTACCTGGCCCCGGCACAAAACCTGTGACAAAATCAGGGCAGAAGAGGATATGTCATCACTAGATAAGGTGACTAGGAAAGAAGCATTTTCAAAATACTATTCAAAGGTCTACACCAGGTATGGCAGCACATGCTGTAATCCCAGCATGCAGGAGGCTGAGGCAGAAGGAATGACACAAGTTGAAGGCCATCCTAAGTTACCCATCAATACTCTCTCAAAAACAAAATAAAAATGAAAATCTTGGATCTATTAAGGTCACATATCTTAGAATTCTGTCACATTAATGTAAAAATGTGTACAGATTTCTATATTATGGCATAACAAAATAAAAAAAATTGTGACCCTTTCAGAAAGCAGAGAGGAAATAGCATGGGTCTGATTTTATGATATTTTTAAGGAATACAGTTTCCAAAAGGACATGGCTAAAAAGTCTACACTTGAAATCTAAAACTTAATACATATGCTTATAACTTTGTAAAATAAGACATTTTAGTGTCATTTCTCCATGTACTCCAATTTTACCTACCACCTATCCACACACTACCACCAGTGAGGAAGAAGGGGGCAACCAAGTACTAACGTCTCCTCTTGTGCTTGCCAGAGATGGAAGGGAAGTGGCACTGGGGATGCTATAGGAGGCAGGTGATAGTCTAAAGTTCACAGCTCAAGTGTAAATTACACACAAATACTGCACAGAAAGATCCTAAGACACTGGACTAGGAGTATAGCCCAGTGGTAGAGTACTTGCCTATGGTGCGTGTGGTCTCAGCTTCAGTCACCAGCACAGGAAAAACCACCCAAACTGAACCACTGCATTAATTGCGGTCAACAGAATCAGGAAGAGTAGGAAAAACTAAGAAGAAATCGGTATTCCACGAGCTGTTACAAAAGAGCCAGTGATGCTGATGGACCTGATGCGGAGCATGACTGTAGCATTCCTGGTCTGTGAAGTCTTCAGAATTATACTGGAAGCTGAACTGTCAGCAGCCTCACCCATGCTTTCTTTTATCACC